ACGAAAAAACAACCGGAAAAAACCGTTATAATGAAAATGCATTAGAAAAAATGGCAGAGGTGCTAAAGGGGGATAAAATATAAAATTAAGGGGAGGGTGGGTGGTTTTAAACAATCTTTGCGTCTGCTTCGTTCAATTTACAGATTCGAAAGGAATATTCTAGAAGACATGCGCATACAAGAATTATCAAGAATTTTTTAAGCACCGAGCCCGATGATTTATGACGTTCAATGTTAAGAAACTAAGAGTTATCTATCTTTGAATATAAAACATTAAGCTGCACGAAATAACCAGGTTTATCCATACTGGATAAACCCCATTATTTCGTGACATTGGACTAAGACAATAACAGAAACAAACTTGATCAGATTAACCCCAGTAAAAGGTTTAAGAAGTCTGAAAATACAGTCAATAAAAAAAGACTTTATTTGTTTTGGCGTGCTTGTCATGGCCATTTAATAATAAATTAGATATATCACAATGTATGCGCCGATCATTATGATTATATGGCAGCATAGGTAAATGAATATAGATGATGAGCAAGAGAAATACCACCTTGATCCAAGGAGTCTGGAAAAAACAGTACCCCCCGGAGACAGCATTCTTTGCAAAATTATGCCAAATGGGTCAAGGGACAAAGTCACGTGACCCATCCGCCACAAACTAAAATTGGGGCGGCAATTTTGCGGCCCAAAGTAACAACAGCACAAATCGTGCACAAATTAGGTACAAATCGCACCAATTATATGTATTATGCCAAATGGGTCAAGGGACATAGTCGCATGACCCATCCGTCTCAAACTAAAAATTGGGGCGGCGATTTTGCCGCCCAGATCAACAATAAAAGCACAAATCGTGCACAAATTAGGTACAAATTGCACCAAATAACCAAATTGGTAAGTGAAAGGCACAAATTGCGCTTTAAGATTGAAATTTTAAAATAAATGCAAATTGCATTGAAAATAATAAATGTGCAACTCGCACACAATGGGGCTCATGACAAGCATCGCAGAAATGTTCACAAAACAAAATTACACAATTGATATAGTTTCTCAAAGTACAAATAAAAATTCTGTTTCCCAAATCTGAAAATTGAACTCCATTATCTCCCTTGCAATGCGTCCTAATATGTGGATAACTGATTGATGCACCACGACCCTTAAACTTACTTACCACAAATGTAGCACATGCACAATTAATCCTATGTCTACACTTCTGTCATTCTGCATTTGCAAGGCAATTTATCAATTATTTTGAGGCAAAATATGTGACCATATATGTAATAAAAGTTTGTGGGAATACTCAGTAAATGTCAAAGCAATATTTGAATTGCAACATTGTGTCATAATATAAAACAATATTATATAAACAGAAGGTAAATTTACGACAATGGTCTTATGCAAGATTTGTAGGCTGCTGACTGTAGGGTTTTATCAATTTATCGGTACGTATCAATATACAAGAAACATATCGTATTGAAAATTAACTTCCAATACGTATCGGACAGGCATTTTTTCTTCTAATTCTGTTAAAAAGATGGGAACTTCAATCACCAAAGATCATATTTCACTTTTTTGAATTAAATCTGTTCAATAATCATTCAATTTTTTAAGGCAATAACACAGTGTTTAGAAATATTACTAAAGCATAGACAATTTTAATTTAAAATGTTGATTTTACAGTCATTAAAAGTCTTGATTTGATAGTCATTAAAAGTTTTAATTTGAGGTGTAAGTTGTAATGACAATGAAACACTTAATTTTTTTGAAATTCATACGTTAAATGATTTTTAAGCCTTTTATGATTGACTTGTTTATAGAATCCAATATATCGCATATATCTTAAGAAAAAAAATAAATTATTGTATCGTATCGTATCTAAATTTTTTGCTCAATACACAGCCCTGGCGCCCGACTGCCACCTTCCCATCTGCGTAATATTTTCATCTGAAAACACTTTTGTATACAAGTGGGTTGCAACCCCAATGTGAAAAATCAGTGCGTCTTAACTTCAGTTGACTGAATATTCAAAAACTGCAAAGTTTTGCTTAAAGTTTATTCAATGTATAACGACCATATTTTGTACCTAAGAAATGAATAGTCCGATATGTTAAATCATGGTAGCAAAATATTTTGATTGATTAATTATTATTGTTCTACGCCAAGTCGGCAATATTTTAGTCATAATTTGAAGATGTTGTAAAACAAAAATGTTCCAATAAGGAATTTACATGTTGATTACTAACCAATTAATTGCACCTTGATTTTAATATTCAAGTCTATGGACAGCGCATATGTTTTTGTAAGATATTTTAAGAAGTAGTCTGAATTTCAAGCTAATCCAAGTATTATCTCTTGGTGAAAATATGCGTTTGTTTGTTTATTAAAATATGATATAAAATGAACTTTATACCGAAGAAATTTAGATAAATTAATTTTTTTCAATCAAGGCCAGATAACTCTTAGAAACTTTCAATGTGCAAAATGACCGTCTCTGTACATGCTATTAGTCTTGCGAATTTTGGTTCATTTCACTTTTATCTTTATCTAAAATCGTCGAAAATTCCTTCATTATACATTGAATACCTTAAGATGGACGGAAACTGATATTGGGATAAGGGTTTTGAGTTTAAATGTGAAAATTGAGACGCCAATTTAATATTTGTACATAATACAGCAAAAATCTGCAAAGATTGAAACAATCACATTGTAATATTTTTCAACATGCAAACATGTCCCCGAACCAGTTTGGCCAGTCTAAAATGTTGTAACAAAAACTTGAATGGTATCACAAGAGACAATTATATGCTTGATACCCAAAGCCACTATTTTACTCACTCTTTAATAGTAATGCAAAGAAAGCTCATGTAAAAGCAGGCTTAAATAAAGCCGCTTCAAAATCATGTAAAAGCAAACTTAAATAAAGCCACTTCAAAATCATGTAAAAGCCGACTTAAATAAAGCCGCGCTTCAATGTACATTAAACTTAAAAAGTCTGCATAACTAACATCCCGACTAATGCCATAATTCTTTTGTTTTTAGACGATTTGCGATTAAATTGCTGTAAACCAAAGAAAAAATCATCAATATATGAAGGTTTTTTGTTTTTGTTTTTTTTTAAATTTAAAATTTCAGCCCAGATCATAATCCTTAATACAACAGATACAAGTTCTAGGTAGGCGATATCCCTGTATTACTCCTCAGGCCAGTCAACAGCTAGGTCAATGTGGGCAACACCAATGTTTACTAAACACCACACGGTAACCATTGAACTATCTAAATAAAATTGAAGTGCATTAATTATATAGATTATTCCTGCCATACACGACTAGGAAATGGTGTGACATGTCCTACAATTGAAATTCCCAAGAAATAGAATTAATATTAATTACACATCAATAAGTCTAGATAACTCATTTTTATTTATTTATTTAATTATTTTGGGAGTCGTTTAGAAAAAAATTGTTAAACGTTTAATTATTCGATTAATTCAATTTTTTAAAAATAAATTCTATGTACATGTATATCTAAAGAAATTGAATGTTTACATGTACATGTAATGGGACGATTTTTTTTTTTTAACAAACCCTGATATTTTCTTTGAAAATTATATAAAAATGGCATTACTAGATCACCGTAGAAAACATAACAAACGTGGGAAATCCCAAATTATTACTATGTGAAGGTGGCCAGTGGATAGATGGATAGTTTACAGACTATTATGCAGGGTCTTGGTTTTTGAAAGCAAGTTTGTAATTCTGGTTTAAACCACGACGGATACACGTGTATTAGATTTAGGCAAATTCCCAAATGTGCAGAAACACACAACTCACTCGATATTGGTTTTGGCAAATGGCAATGGTGGAAAAAGGGGTCATATTTTGTCAGAAAACATGCATAGGGTTCCCCTTGATAACAAGTATGACGTCATTTGAATCTCGCATTGTATGGAAATTCGTAAAAATTAAAAAATATGATAATTAATAAAAGGATTTGGGTCAAATTGAACTGTACCTCGATTATGTTGAGCTGGAATAGCAGGTAACAGGGAAACTAAGGAAGTTACAGTGACTCTGAGTCAGGTGCCTGCTCGACAATGGCGACATCATGTTCAGAACGTGGCGGTGCATGAGTTGCTACAGCTAGGCCTACTCTATGTTTTAGGTCTGGATACGGAACTTCTTGTGATTTCTCTGGAATAAGGTCTCCTGGCCTTCGAAGCTTTTGATACACGTAACATATTTACTTGTATTTGACAATAAATCAGCAGATGATGATCGATTAATTCTTTAAAAAAATCTTTGCGTCTGCTTCGTTCAATTTACAGATTCGAAAGGAATATTCTAGAAGACATGCGCATACAAGAATTATCAAGATTTTTTTAAGCACCGAGCCCGATGATTTATGACGTTCAATGTTAAGAAACTAAGAGTTATCTATCTTTGAATATAAAACATTAAGCTGCACGAAATAACCAGGGGCCCGTTTCACAAAGCCTACTTAGGACTAAGTTATATCTTAGGAAAGAACTTTTTCCTAAGTTCATTACTTATCCGTTTCACTAACCTCGTCTTATCTTAGGATATTCCTAAGTTATGTCGTAACTTTAGGAAAGGTAAATCGATGTCTTAAGAACAAACTAAATATGGCGGCTGCTTATGTTATTATAAACCATAGGAATCTCTTTCGACGAGAAAGAATATTTCGCGACAGAAATGATCCAATGGATTATATGGACGATGATGAGATTATCTCAAAGTTTAGACTTCCTCGCCATTTGATTCAGAGTATCTGTGGGGAGATCGGAAACGATATCAGAAGGCCTACAAGAAGGTCACACTCACTTCCACCATCCCTCCAAGTCATGGTTGCTTTGCGGTTTTTCGCCACAGGGAGTTTTCAAACAGTTACTGCTGACTTGCATGGTATAAGTAAAGCAAGCATATCAAGAATTGTTAGGGATGTGTCTGAATCCCTAGTAAAAATCAGTCCAAGATATAAAAATGCCCACTGATGATACTGCAATTACTAATACTATGTTCAATTTCTCAAGAATAAGTGGCTTTCCGAATGTCATTGGTGCAATAGACGGAACACATATTGGAATTAAGTCTCCAAGTTTTGAAGAAAATGTCTTCGTGAACAGGAAAAATTATCATTCAATTAACACCATGGCTGTGTGTGATGCCAATTTAAAGTTTCTCAATGTAGTAGCAAAATGGCCAGGGTCATCACATGACTCATTTGTTTGGAACAATTCTACACTCTGTCAAATTTTAGAAAATAAGATAATATCAAGAGGGTGGCTATTAGGTGACAGTGGTTATCCCCTTAAACCATATTTACTCACACCTGTTCTAAATCCAACCACCGGTAAAGAAAATGCCTACAATACGGCTCATATGAGAACAAGAAACGTCATTGAAAGATGCTTTGGTGTATGGAAAATGCGATTTCGTTGTGTGGACACATCAGGTGGTACACTTCAGTTCTCACCTAAAAGAACCTGCAATATTATAGTTGCAACTGCAGTTCTACATAATATATGCATTGACAATAGAGTCCCAAACCCAGTTGGAAGAGCCGTTGTTAATGACGGAAATGACAATGTGTATCGTGGGACATTGAATGACGGATCAGAAGTTAGAAGACGATTGATTGATGCTAGGTTTTAAATAACAATATCTTCTATTCTTATATGTACATCAACTCATATAGAGTAACCTGTGAAAAGTATTGTGTGCAAAGTAAATAAGAATAAATAGATATAAAGTAAATATTTATTGTTGAGAAGAAATAGTGGCATTGGAAATAATGCCCAGCTGACAGAGTTTTATGCTGTGTTTTTCCTGCTCTAGCTGTAGTCGTGTCCTTTCTATAGTTAGCCTTTGTTCCTCGACATTTAGTCTTTTAATTTCCACATCAAGTCTCTTCTTTTCTATATCCAGTCGCTCCTTTTCAATATCAATCAAGTCCAGCGAATGTGATTTAATGTCTATCTTACGTTTTGCTGTTGATAAATGAACAGAAATTATATATATTTATATGCATCTACATGTAAATCCTGACAAGTGAGTACATGCACAATGAAATGACGTTAAAATATAATTTTAGATTTTAAAAAAATAGCTCTTATTTGAAAATAAAATAAAAATGATAATACTAATCAATAATGTAATAACATTCTATAGCATACTGTATATGTAATTATTTTTTAGAATACCCCTTCCCTCCTTACAGACTAGAAGACGAATACATGTACATATTTACCGCCCACTGTAGAGGTCTGTCTGTTTGAAGATGTAGATGAATCTATAGAATCCGTTGATCCATCAAGTGACTGGTCGGTCGCTGGGGTGATCAGTGTCCCCTTTCCTGCCATACCATTAGACTCCTCTAGAAATTATATTAACCACACATTTATACCAAGTTTATGAATAAATTACATGAATATTTAAACGATATCTCATTATTCTATTGACTGCTTGTATACTTATAAAAATAGTTACACTTCATAGGCGTCGGAACCGGGGGGGGGGGGGGCTTAGTCCCCCACTTTTTTCCAAATATATACTTAGTATAGACATTAAACATATCTTCGTAGTTTAGCCCCCCCCCCCCACTTTCCACAGATACGTCTTAGTATAGGTTAAAAATTGGGAAAGTGGTGGTATTTGTTAGAAAATTTTTGGTACTGGAGTTCGAACCTTATCCACCCCCCCCCCTTTTCCTTTTTTTTTTTAAATATTTTTTTGCTTGTCAGGTTTTTTCGGAGGTACAAAAATTTTTTTTTTTACACTTAGCCCCCCCCCTCCCAATTTCAATCTGCTTCCGACGCCAATGCACTTTCTGTTTTTCGTATTATTGTTATATTATGTCAAACTTTAAATTATCTCAAAATTCAGTTGGGTTGGGTTGGGTGGGGAGCCATTCAGTTTCAGTTGGGGGCACTATTAATTATCAAAAATTCCTTTGGTAAGCAAAAAAGAAAAAAAAAACAGTCATCAGATTTTTTGTAAGGGACACAAACATATAGTAGCTTTGTTTTATACTGCCAGTAGTTATCTATGTATCGGCAAAATTATTGGGGGTGGAGTGGGTGGCCATGATCTTATTAATTTAGAAGAAACCAACTTTATCCAGAATTACCTTCAAGAGTGTCAATGCCCCCATCTACTCCAGATAATGCAGTTTCTCCAATAATGGACTGTATTTTGTCCTCCATTGGGGTCACGCTGCAATCCGCTGGCAGTTGACCGCCACCAGTCCTCACTTGCTCGCGCTTTAATTTTGAAATTTTTTTCTTTGTCTCACTACATAGAACACTCCATTTCTTGTTTAGTTCATCTGCTGTACGTAAATGAGAAGTATTTACAGCATTAACTTTCTCACAGATTAAGTCCCATTCTCCCTTTTTCGCCTGATTTGTCACAGATGAATTCTGTCTGGAGAATATCACGTTCTTCCTTTTCTCCACTTCTTCAGTCAATATAGAAATTTCTGCAGTTGAAAAATTTGGGTTCCTCTTTGGTCGAGCCATTATGATTTTGTGGGCGGGAAAGCATGTATACTTTTAAGCACGGACTCTTTACATGGACTAGACAATGCAATGCACTCATTCATGACGAAATGAAAGACACTTTAACTGCTGACTGGAGTGTTCGATTTAGGTTGCCGAAACCAAAAACCAAAAATATTTGTTTCCCAGTACTTTGTAATTAGATAAAATGTTTTTGTTAGTCATTAAATGTTTTTAACACTTTTCCCCATCGTTTCTTCTACCCACCAAGACATGTACATGTATAATAATTGTGTAAGAATTGGAAGTACAAATCAATTTACGTGCATGAAATGTACGATTGATCGTTGATACTATGTGACTTTTCTGTGCACGTACATGTGTGTGTTTAACATACATGTTGTAACAATACACCTATTTAAGAAAAACAAATATCATATTACGAGACTGCCTATTAATTTCTGCATACAACATACAAATTAATTTTTACCTCACAATTTTTTGGTGAGGGGATTAAGGGGGAGAGGTGAAACCAAGTAGCTCGTAAAGGTTATATATGAATAGTTTAAGATATGACTTAGGAAAAAAATAAGATAAGAAAGTTTTGTGAAACAGCTATGACAAAACTTACGAACATCCTAAGTTATAACTTAGGCATATCCTAAGTCATCTTCGCTAGCCAAGGGTTTCCGATCCGATACCTACTCTACAACCCTTGGCAGATTTAGTCCTATCAATCGGGAACTTTGATTGCGCCGCCTATCGCCGTAATTGAGTTAAGTCCCTTGAAGCTCTTTAATATTTGTCCAATGAAAATAGCTGTAACATACGTAGATCAATATGACGTTTGAAACAATATGGCGACCTCCATGTGGAATATATCCAAACAACTTCATACAGCTGTGGGCAGTGGGCACACCTCAAAAGTGGTAGAAAATATCCTTCTTCGTGGATTTTTAGTCAAGAGTTTGACACTACTTTCTACTTGTTGCCGTATCAATTATTATCAATGAGCCGTGACATTTGATTGGCTTAAATTGATGCACCTAAAATGCGGAACACGGACTAATGTGGTCCTTTCAATAATTCTTGAAAACATATATAATTAAAAGAAAAAAATTCAAATTAATTAATCCCTCGTTTTTTTAAGCATAGATCACGTCATAACTTTCATCCCTTGTAAATATCACTTTTATTTTGCATAAAACACGAACAGACTTTAATTCAGCCGAAAATCGTCGATTAGTAAAAACCTTGCGTAGACTCGGACTTCGCAGCCAATCAAATTCGTTTGCACGAGTTCTAAAATTTTCGGCCAAATCTGCCAAGGGTTGTAGAGTAGGTATCGGATCGGAAACCCTTGGCTAGCGAAGATGATCCTAAGTTGTATCTTAGGAAATATCTTAGGAAATCTTTGTGAAACGGGCCCCAGGTTTATCCATACTGGATAAACCCCATTATGTACGTATTATATTATCTACCCTTTGTAATCATCTTATCAGACAAATAAACTCGCTTGTTTTAAATTTACCAAAATTTGAAAAAAAAAAAAGAAATGAAGACGAAAGTTAATTGGTCATTAGAGATAGCTTAAAAAGGTTAGGAGGTAGATGCTATATACAGTTTGTTAAAAGAGTATGTCGAGAATAAGGGAATGAAAGGTAATTCATTGTCCAATGCTGTAATTAAATGAAACATGGAGATAACGAACATTATTCAAGATCACAAGTCCATAAAACAATACAAAATAGGAGCTGAGCAAACACAGACCTCCAAAACATCAGAGTGTGATCAGGTGCCATGGAGTAGAAAGTATCCCTTGCCCATATCATAGATTACCATTAACGTTATTTTCAAGTGAAATATCCAAATATGAATCAGTTGTGTCAGACTCTATGATATCTTCTATTTCAAGCTCACCGGGATATATCGTATCGACACAAGAATGGAAATTACCTTTGTTAATTGATAATACGCCGTCGATATACATGTATCTAAATGTTGATTTGAAGGCCACAGCAAGTGTTTCCTTTTTTTCACGTTTAAGGTTTTGGACATATTTTGCTTCATATGAATACAAAAATAGGCCTGCTAATAACGGAGCGCAATTGGTACCCATGGGATTTTTAATAGATTGTTTGAATACCTGGTCTCCAAATACCACATAGATATTGTCAATCAGAAACTCAAGCATCTTTTTATGTCAACTTCAGATTACAATCTGAATGTTTGTTATCAAAATAATTTTGCAAATGAGCTTTGACAAGGTAAGTAACTTTACGAGTTTCCTTTTTATTGAAAAAGCAGCTGTCAAGGATATAAAAAATCCTGGACTTTGATTCATTGTGGGGAATGGTTGTGTATAAAGTTGAAAAGTCGAAGTTTTTAAGCTGTTGATTTTTGGTAAAATCTTGTGATTTCAAATTGTCCAAGAGTTCCTTGGATTTTTTACGTATCCACATCTGATATTCACCACTTTTCGATTTTATTGTTGCACAATACTCTTGAACTTTCCCCTTCACTAATGTTAATATCTTAGTAGGGAGTAAAGAAAAAGACTTGATTGAGCATTTACTGGAACCCGCCATGTATCTTTGTTTGTAAGGATTTTTATGAAGTTTTGGAATACAATATAGATATGGAGACAAAAATCATTTTGGATCTTTGGGATTTTAAAAATTAAACCCAAGTTCTTCTAAACTACAATTTATATAATGAGCCTTTCAAACAAAGACAATGCTGTTACCTGCTTTGTCGGCAGGGACCAGTACGTACTGATCATGTAATCCATCTAATTCTCTAAAGTGAAGAAATATAACCCCAACCGTGCAAAGAAAGTACGGGATCTGGCTCCGGGGCCATAAAACTGAGATAAGCTCATCTTTGATCTTAGTCTCACTTTTTCAAAAGAGATTCTAAGATCAAAAGTGAGCACGTCTCAATTTTATGGCCCATAGCATGTAGCGTTATGATCAATACCCTAGCAGTACAGTTCTACAGCTAAAGAAAAAATAATAACACTGACTAAAACTTTTATTACACTAATTTTATAGAACACGATTTTACTAATTAAATTGATAAAGTAGTTCGGAACAAGAAAAAAAACATAATGCTTTGTAAACATTTTTGTAAGCACTTTTGCTAACGCGAGTCATGTATTTTTCAAGCAACTGTTACAACACAAGTTTCGTTTCTAAAACTTAAATATAACATGTTATTGTTCACGTTTTTAATTACCGGTCAAAATCAACAAAATTGAACTCACGTGAATAGTTACACATTATTTGAGTTATAAATTCATCTTCTTCCGCTGTCTCTATGTGAGCCAAATAACCACCATGTATTTCACACATTTTCTGCTATAAAGTACATCAAATTCACACACGCCTACAGATCATTATATATATATATATATTCTATATATATATATATATATATATATATATATATGTCTAAATACATTTTAAAACACAGTCTTACATAAACAGCCCTATTTAAATAAAATAAAAGCCCTATTACCACCCCATCCATCCATGACTCCGCTTCTGTTGACACATGATAACAGGAGTTCTTGAATGGTTGCCAGCCAGGTGGACATCCAATACCTAGAAATAGTTCATATTGAATTCAAATCTTATGAGAGAGAGAGAGAGAGAGACTTACCTGTACTAATTAGAGCTGTACATATTAATAGTGCTATTTTCATGTCGACTGCCAACATGTCCGTTACGTAAGATGTCCTAATTCTATGACTGCCAGATCAAAATAAGTCGACACTCGATTAAAGTAAGATATAGATTACATCATTTTATATCTGTCCTGGTTTATGCATAAAAATCATTTTTAAATTTAATACCGGTAATTATTCTTAATTAAAAAAAATCAACAAAATAATTTAATTAAAATAAACCTGTTAACAGTTGCTTAAAGGTCATCAGAATATCTAATGCTACATGCAATTGATGATTGAAGCTAGAAAAATATTTTATTCTGTTCCTTAGCAAAACGTCAATGACATTGTGCATAATAAGAAACTGAATACAAACGTCAATGACATTGTGCATAATAAGTAACTGAATACACGTACTCTTTTGAGAATTTAGGGCGTGAAAAACGTGAATGAATATGCAAATTATTATGTTTTAGGCTCTATTGATAGTAACAAATGGATTAATCTACAGTTTCATATGACTAGCTTGAAAAGGCTTTCAGGTTATGAAAGCAAAACTGACTTACCCTTTATAAAAATCTTTAAAAATCATTATACTACTCACTGTTTGTTATAAATTTAAATCTCGAATCTAATTCAGAGAGGTATTTCATACATTTGGCCATATGCGAGCAAAGTTTGAATTTTGCAAAAAAAAAAAACCCATTCCCATAAGGACCCATGACGACCAATGCATTTTGGTTGTCCAGTGTCTTAGCTGTAGACCTTTAATTGTAACCAACTATTAATTTAGAATTTGAATTCAAAAATGCTGTAATTGCTCAGACATATTTTTCATCAACAAAAGTAGATTTTATTGAAATAAAAGTTTCAAACTGAGCTAAAAGGATCTGTTACGAATTTTCCCCCATGACCAAAATAACCCACAGATTGGATCACCCCAATTTATGCCCTGAATATTTAATCTATGTATCGTAAATTTATTTGTAGATATATGGAAATATTACCAATTATCGTATGTCATTAATGTATGCTTTATAATTCATTGTATATGTTTATTTCATGGATATCCTTTCGTTGTAATGTACAAACCCGAATTTCCTCCATATACCAGCCCAATCGTAATAGCAAATGGCCGTCTGGCATTGTTATACGATCAAGGTACCCAAATCCATCTTGGCATCGTTACCAAAACAATTCCCAAACATCAGATCATCCCTTTTCCCGCATTTGTAATGATAAAGCCTTTACTTGATGCAAAAGTTGTTTGTGTTATCATACAAACGTCGCGCGAATGCTGGCGGTACCGCTGGTTATTCGCACGTGAACTAATTCGGCCCTAGTGATGAAAGGGTATATAAAGAAGGCTCTTTGGACTTTTTCTTCAGTCTGGGACGTTGGTCAGACTCATTAACATCTGACCAGCTCAGAGAATCCCAGCTCCCCAGAAGTGGGTAAAATCTGATGCCCCATATTGGGTAAATAAACCCAATCTGCCAAGCCCGGCAGATCCATACCCAATTGATTCACTGATGCCAATCCCCGGCAGATCCATACCCAATTGATTCATTGATGCCAATCCCGGCGGATCCATACCCCAATTGATTCATTGTTTATAAATTCATCCGGGTAACCCGGTCGAGCCGGATACCTTTTTATTGTCGGGTAACCCATAATTTATTATTGCCTAATTGCCAATTCTTATTGTTATTTGTTATTCATTGTTTGCACCATAATAAATTTTATAAATTTGCAACCTGACTTTTCATTTAGAGTTAAAGGGTAAAATTCAGAAACAGGAGACCCACAATAATTTATTTTCATTGTAACAAACCCTGGAACAGGCGGAAACGTTACAATTTGGTGTCAGAAGTGGGATATTTTAATTATATCTTGTTTTTGTTTACCCTAAGAAAAAGAAAACCATTTCTTAATATTTTTGTAAATTTTTATTATTTCAAATTTTTCTTTTGGATACAAATTTTTGTACAATGGAGGCTGATGAAAGCTTTGAAATTACTTTTAAACCGCACTCAATTTCACCCAATGTTCATGTTAATTCTCATGACCGCCCGGATATCCCAAGTCACCATTCCATGCCGGCATCAAATTCAATGCTACATGTACCTGCAAGAGATAATCAACTTGATGTTATTCTCTCAATGTTGCATGATATGAAATCCAAATTTGAACAAGATAGTCAAGAAATGCGAATGAAATTTCAGCATGTTGAAAAACAAAATGAAATCCTGCAAAGGGATAATGCTGAACTTCGAAAATTATATAGTGACAGGGGAGACAATCATCACAGTCCCAGTGCCCCGTCACATACAACCCAATCCAAAACCAACAATGTAAATGAGTCCAATTGTCCCTACAGTGTCTCATTTGGGTCCAAAGATTGCCCCCGGTCCATTTCCATGAATGACCATCCAATAAATGAGTTTTCAACTCCTCAAGAAAACAGAACACATTACCCAGTGTCTGTTAAATCCAACGCACCCGTAAAGTTACAAGATTTTGATGGGTCGGAGGATTTTAATGATTTCCTGGTCCATTTTGAAATTCTGGTAACCTTGCATGGCTGGGACTATAGAACAAAATCCCTCTACTTAGCCAGCAGCCTTGCAGGTAGTGCCAGAGCTTTGCTCACTGAGTTAAATGAAACCCAAAGAACAGATTACAAGTGTTTAGTGGATATTTTAAACAGACGATTCGGGTCTGTAGAAAGAGCGGAACTTTTTAGAGCCCAACTTAAAACTCGGGTTAAGGGAAGCAATGAAACCATATCTGAACTGGCCCAATCCATTAAGAAATTAACCCGACAGGCCTACACAACCACTGATCAAAGTGTGCTATGTATCTTAGCCCTAGAACAATTCATAGATGCCCTACCTGACCCTGAAATCCGTCTCCGATTAAGAGAGGCAAGGCCCAAAGACATAAATGAAGCTGAAATTTTGGCCATTCGGTTGGAAACTTATAGATTGGCAGATGCCCAAAGAAATAAAACTGTCCATGCCATTAACCAAACAGAACCCATTCAAAGCTTGCATGATGACCTTAAATCTCTTACCCAAGAAATCAGAGCTCTAGTAAGAAATTGTCAAATGCCTACCCAAAATATGGCAGGAACCCCATATCCACATTATTTATATGAGAACTCATACCAAACCCACTATCAGAATTTTTCCAATATGGGCTCATATGAAAACTTGGTCAGATCCGACTACCAAAACAATAGACCAACAAATTATGGACCAAGACCCCAGGTTTCACCCTACCAAGGAAATTCTAACAATTGGAAAAATTTCCCCAAGAACACAAGTCAAAATCAATTCCGACCTCAAAATCAGGGAAACTACCCTGCGTCGAATTCGGGGGTCGGAACTCGACAGGTTCAAGGGGCAGGCCCCAACACTTGCCATTAAATATGGCTCAACCTCTCTCACTAAAACCCAAACCCAATATTGAAAATAAAACAGAATTTGAATCCGAGAAAGAAATCCCTTGTTATACTGAACCTACCCCCACAGAAATTTTAGTGAGAGATAGAAATGGGGAAAATGATGGAATTTATGTTATTGGGAAAATTGGAAATAAAGAAACAAATGTACTAGTTGATACTGGTGCTAGTGTGACCATTATCAGTACCCAATTCTTTGAAAATATAGATACTATGGAAAAGCCCCAAATTACTCCAGTATCTATCAAACTTACATCTGCAAGTGGTGATGTAATCCCAGTTAAGGGAGAATGCCCAATCAAAATATCCCTTGAAAATTTTCAAGTTACCCATAAAGTACTTGTGGCCAATATACAAAACCCATGCGTATTGGGATTAGATTTTATGACTCAGAATTCATGTGACCTTTTGGTAAAACAGATGAAACTAAAGATACAGGGTCTAGACATTCCCTGCTTTAGTAAATCTTGTGTAAAAGTTGTGTCTTGTGGCAAGATAAGTCTTGCCGAGGATATTGGAAATCCTCCCCATTGTGATTATGTTGCTCCTGCAAAGGGAGATAACCCTTTATTTAAGGATGAGGTTGGAATAATAGAACCTATCCCAAGTTTTGTTGAGAAAAATGAATTGTTGATTACCCAAACCCCTTTAACTGTAGACGAAGAAGTCACAGTTTGTCACATGAATATGAAAGACAAATGTAGCAAACTATATGAGAATACCCAAAGTGCCACAGTCAAATGTATTGACAAAATAGTAAATGTATTGGAAGACCCATCCAATACCAATACCATTAATGCTTTTAGCCAAGAGCTCAACCCCCAATATCCAGACCACTTGCAATGTATTAATGTTCAGAAAATCCCCAAAGAAATTATGAATGAACCAAAGCAAGAGTTCCATTTGAATGAAAATTGCCATGAAGCTTTCGACAAACTCCAAAGAGCCCTGACAAATTCCCCAAGCTTATCCTACCCCAACAATGAAAAATTACAAAATGGTGTTGGAAAATCATATGTACCATACCCATCACTTAACCCAGACATGATGATCCCTAGTTCATACCTTGCCGTGAGGAAGCCTTCCAAACCGTATGATGTACTTTCGGACATTGATCCTGGACCTTTCCAAATGACGCTGGATTCGTAATACACGGACGTGCACTGGACCTTTTGGATATTTCAAAGGACTATATCGTATAACTTTGTGAACTTTATGATGATACTTGTGAATATTCGTGATGTGGATCGAGATCTGTGATTTGTATCCGTCGTGACTTTTCTATTCCAATGGATCCAGGATTGGTAAGAAGTGATGAACTGTGATGAACAAAAACATTTTGGTAAAAGTAAATGTATTGATAATGGATGAACTGTTATTCATATTATTGTTTTTCATAACTATGATTCATAACTATTGACCACATTGTTATTATTGATATGTATGTATTTTTGTGGCCCCTGATTATGTTTATTCATATTGCAAATGTTACTTTTCATGACAATATTCCCATGAAATACAGTCCCAAAATTGAGATTTGATAAAACGACCCAACATTCGGGACGAATGTTTTCATGGAGGGGGAGCTCTGTTACGAATTTTCCCCCATGACCAAAATAACCCACAGATTGGATCACCCCAATTTATGCCCTGAATATTTAATCTATGTATCGTAAATTTATTTGTAGATATCATGGGAATATTACCAATTATCGTATGTCATTAATGTATGCTTTATAATTCATTGTATATGTTTATTTCATGGATATCCTTTCGTTGTAATGTACAAACCCGAATTTCCTCCATATACCAGCCCAATCGTAATAGCAAATGGCCGTCTGGCATTGTTATACGATCAAGGTACCCAAATCCATCTTGGCATCGTTACCAAAACAATTCCCAAACATCAGATCATCCCTTTTCCCGCATTTGTAATGATAAAGCCTTTACTTGATGCAAAAGTTATTTGTGTTACCATACAAACGTCGCGCGAATACTGGCGGTACCGCTGGTTATTCGCACGTGAACTAATTCGGCCCTAGTGATGAAAGGGTATATAAAGAAGGCTCTTTGGACTTTTTCTTCAGTCTGGGACGTTGGTCAGACTCATTAACATCTGACCAGCTCAGAAAATCCCAGCTCCCCAGAAGTGGGTAAAATCTGATGCCCCGTATTGGGTAAATAAACCCAATCTGCCAAGCCCGGCAGATCCATACCCAATTGATTCACTGATGCCAATCCCCGGCAGATCCATACCCAATTGATTCATTGATGCCAATCCCGGCGGATCCATACCCCAATTGATTCATTGTTTATAAATTCATCCGGGTAACCCGGTCGAGCCGGATACCTTTTTATTGTCGGGTAACCCATAATTTATTATTGCCTAATTGCCAATTCTTATTGTTATTTGTTATTCATTGTTTGCACCATAATAAATTTTATAAATTTGCAACCTGACTTTTCATTTAGAGTTAAAGGGTAAAATTCAGAAACAGGAGACCCACAATAATTTATTTTCATTGTAACAAACCCTGGAACAGGCGGAAACGTTACAGATCAAATATGGAAGTCAAACTATATCTGTTTAAGAAGAAAGGAAAGATAGCAGAAAAGCTAAAACTTTTACAATGCAAGGCAAAAGAAGACATCGCGATTTATATGTACGTTTTGCTCCAATAACGGATTTGATGTTTATTCCCACAATTTCACAAATGCACATAGAATTTATTGATAGAAAAACTAAGTATATTATTGATACTCTATAATTAGTAAATTAAGAACAAATACAGATCATGATACAAATAAGATTTTATTCAGATTCTGTAATGACAGATTTCTTACATTTAGTTAATCAGTCAACCAACAAGACTTGGATATAGAGATCTGCAAAAAACAGAAAAAAATATTTATACATCCAAAAAACTACATGAAAAGACGAATATAATGTACCTCGTATTTATATCTATACGAGAGAGAGAGAGAGAGAGAGAGAGAGAGAGAGAGAGAGAGAGAGAGAGAGAGAGAGAGAGAGAGAGAGAGAAAAACCCTGACTGATAGAATATGAAAATAACGAACACATATTATCAGTATTATTTTCAATATTATTTTCAATATGATCTTATGAATACTCGCCTTTTTTCACAGACATATGGCCGATGTTCATCACAATCATCGTCGTCCCATTGACGGTTCGCCAGTCTTATTGACAGACAGTTTTCCCCATTCATATTGTTAGGCCTTCCATGAGCAAAATTGGTGAAATTGAATTTCAATCCGATTGGTTCCCATACCCATGTGCCTTCTATCGTCCAATCAGATCCTCCTATCCAGAAGGAGGAGCCTGAAATCACAAAATCTTTTAACGAAAGCTTCAATCAGAATATTTTGTGAGATATTTTTGATGTTTGTTGAATTTAGCTTTGCCCTCCTGAAAAGCAATTGATTATATTAGTAAAATACTTTTTCATGAAGATGGGGGTAAATGTGTGAAATAATCTTTTTTTCCGTTTAAACAATTTTTACAAAAGAAATATAGAGTTTCTCTTCTTTTTTCTAAATAAATTACTTGAATTTTCAAATAAAAATCCACGAACATAGCTTTCTTCAAATATTGAAAATCATTCAAAATAACTTTTGAAAACTGACACTGGGAAACGATATTGTCGTTAGCATTTTTCAAAAATAATATTGAGTGTGTAAAGAATAAGTTTTTCAGAGCTTAAGAAAAACATTAATGCATAAAACAGAAATAAAGTGCAGAATTACACTTTTTAGCATTTAATTGAAAGAAATAAACACTTACTGTGTGATTTTTGTAGCAGAGACACTATGAATGCATTAGTGTCTCTGTCCATAATATGTGCAAGGTGTCCGCCATGGAATTCACACATTTTCTTTTAATAACATAAGAAAAATTAATGCAATTATCACAAAGCTGTTATTTAAAATTTTAGAAAAAATTAATTTTATGGAAAAATAAAATAGTTTATGACAACAAGTTTAGATATAAGTATTTTATTTGTCATATTCTTATTTAACTCAAGCATCTAGAGTTATGAGTACCATCTGCCTTTATTAGCACATATGTACAGGCGTAAACTGCATGACAAGAGCGATTACTAGGGTTGTGTCTGGATTAATTTGTTTCACTGCAGGTCGATTTTTCAGACACCTGCATGGGTTTTTGATGAGTTATGTGTTAAGATAAACTTCGGACACTTGTAGCCCAGTAGCTAAAACAATTCAATAGATGGCATCCTGTGTTAGGGTTATATTAATACCCTTGATTTCATTGTATGTTGAGATCTACCAATTCAGGTCCTCCATAAAATGACAAATTTTATAAAATATTATCAACTCAGCATTAGAATTTCTTCAACTACAAAATCAAATCCCCACAGACGTATTTTTTCTCGAACCTCAAAATATGTAAATTCACAGTACCTGAACTACATAAATTACAACTGAATACAATATTATTAGTTACATAGTCTTTTAGTGAAAGGGTATGGGATGATACCTGGTTAGTAAATTTCATACCTGGCGAGGCGGAGCCGAGTCAGGTATGAAATTTACTAACCAGGTATCATCCCATACCCTGTCACTAAATGACTATGTAACGAATTTACCCCACCGATGAAACATTTACGTTTTATCTGTAGTTTATAAATGGTTTTCTCTGCTAAATGCTTCATCGCGCTTATACTGTGCCTATTATGACGTCACGTTTGTGTTTGTGACGTAATACATCGACCGGGTATAGATTTCTACTGACCGGGTATGGATTTACAACTGACCGGGTATAAGTAATCCACCGCCTTCACGTGACAGACTTCAACCAATCGTAAGCCGGGATTTCACGGAATAATCAACAGAGGTGGGGTAATATATATTACCTAGCTGTTTTCTCTAATATATACTTTTGCAAACCTGGCTTCCTATTCAAGATAATTTTTTCCTGCATAACTTTGAAAAATTATAAAATTTTACCGTCATGCAGTATCATTCACAGTATATATTCAAATGAATGATTGCCTATTATCAAACAAACAACAAACAAGGACACACTGTCTATTTCAATTAAAGGTTTGTGGAAATAAAAAAATACATGTAGCCATTTTATAACAAGTTCAACTATTGTTTTGATATGACTATAGGCGGTCCTATTTTAAGAGAGATGTATACTGAACACTTTGCAGCACAGCATATTCTTGGGGAAAAAAATCTATGCAGACTATAAGTAGATTTAGGGGTGCGTCATCTCCCTATTTGTTAACAACCACAGTAGCTATCAGCAATAAGGAATAAGCGGTTAAAATCACGAACCATTGCATCCATCCAGGATTCATCTTCATTTGAGGTATGATAACAAGAGTCTCCATGAGGAATCCAACCCCCCGGGCACCCAAAACCTACAAGGTAAAAATAATTAACTCTCTTAATTAGAACAAAGAGAAGCATTCGTGTTTAAGAATTGTAGAATTTTTTTTTCTGTTTTCAGATATTTTACTGCGAGTTTGTATAGAAATGATATGGTTTCGACTGTATTTTTACACTTTATCTACTTTTCAACATGTACACTTCATCGATACGTAAACTTAATATAATATTAAAAAGACAAACCAACTCCCTGTTTATAATTAGCATTACTCAGTGCTTTCATTTCAGTAGAGGTAAAGATAAATTAAGGACATTGCCTCTTTCAGAACTCCTCGGGATTTTTATGCCATGAATTTGCGATTTATGAACAAAATTTTTAATACACTGTAGTATGTTTTGGCAAATACCGTAAGAAGGCCTTGCTTGGGAAACTGGTTAATAATTCAGAATTAAAGTTCATAATACAAATATATACCTTCATTTATAAAACTTTGAGAAATATTTCTTAGATATTTATGATGAATATAGTTTGTCAAAGGATTTTAGCAAAAATACTCGTAAGAGTCAAAATATTCAAAATGTAATTTCAAAGGTAAAATCGGCATCCATCCATTACCAAATAATTTTGTACTCCTAAATCTACTCTGCAAGACGTCTGTAACTACTATTTTCACATAGAAAAACTGCATTCCTGAAAATTGCTCCGAGCTTGAATCAGACTTTTGAAACGAGCATACATTTCTTTGGGAATCTACATTTTGCACATCACTTTTAAAGCAATATGAACTGCATTATTTTAAGAATTTTATTTTGCTATTAAAGTCTGTCATTATGATAAAATTGTTAGTAATTGAAACCCTTATGATTAATTAGAATAAAATAAAGATTTAAAATGTTCAAAAGATAGACCTCTTTACAATGAAATATTTAGTATTATTTAACTTAAGAAAACAATATTGTACAGGACGACAATAATGTAAGTCTACATCATTAAGAGCTTGCAAATAGTTCTTCTAATACAAATATGATCATCAGAAGTTTATAAATGTTCTTTTTTATGTTCTTGACAAAATATTGACAATACTGCAATATAAAATTTTGACATCAAGGTGCAGCTGGATTTTCATTTATAAGCTTACAAAATAATTTCACAAATTGATCCTGTATGATTCTGAAATTATCGCTTGTAATTTTTTTGCAATGCACTCGTGTCCAATTTGCATAAAGGTAAATATTAAAACACTTCTAAGTAAACGATAAATCTCCTATTGGTCTATGGGAAACATAATTATCATTTAGATAAAGATAACTGTACCTAGAGAGATTAGGCAGGTAATGTAAATGAATGATTTGCTCCACATTTCCGGTGATCACTATTATATGTATACCATAAACGATTGTGTTCTATTTATATAATACTAGTACACTGTACTTATAAAGGTTCATTGTCAAGGACAGATTAGAAATGATCATTATCGTGCCGTATTTTGTTCAATTACACTCAGTGTGGAATTTTTTGAATAAATCTGCTACATATGACAGAAGGAAAGGTATGCTAATAACTGGTTGCGAGATGATTTGATCTTCAAATTAAACCATATAGATGTTTTCAATCCGAAACATAAGTGCATGAAATAAATGGAGATAACAAACAGTATTCAAGCTCAAAAGTCCATTAATCAATACAAAAAGGAGTAGAGCAAACATGGACCTCCAAAGCATCAGAGGTGGGATCAGGTGCCATGGAGATGTGAGGATCCCCTGCAGACCGATCACACCCGCAGTGTGCTCCTTTTTCATGATCGGAAAATAGTGAACAAGCTGTCAACAATTCAGTGTGTATATAATGGGCTTACAATTAGTATGAAAAACGTCAGTCAGCATTTTACTAAATGATAAGCTGCATTTGCTGAGAAGGTCATTGAATTGACCACAGAACTTACGAAATGATCACTTTAAACGAGACTGATCGATGATAGTCTTGTTTTAGCAACTTGTTGAGCAATAACTGAGTAAACAAATTATTTATATTAGAACATGCTCTTGCGTATCGAATTAACCCTGTATGCAGGTGATGAAGGTATATTTTAAGGGAAGTTGACAATTGAAAAGTAAAATCACCTCGTTTGTCATAACTTTTCAAGTAATATATCTAGATAGTTAAGAGATGTGTCAGACTATCTTTTATTGCAACCTCACCTGGATATATCGTATCGACAAAAGAATGGAAATTACCATTGTTAATTGACAATACTTCGTCGATATATCTAAATGTTGAGTTAAATGCCACATCCTTATCTTCTTTTACGTATAGGAATTTGGACAAATTCTGCTTCATATGAATATGGGAATATGTCTGCTGATAACAGGGCGCGATTGGGGATTCAAATAGATTGTTGGAAAACCTGATCTAATGTGACTTAAATATTACTTTCTGAGTACAAGTGTGTTTATGTAGCTTAGGAATATACTAGAGATATTGTAATTGACATTGAATTAGAAGTTTGGGATCATTAAAATAATCAAATCTGACATAAGAGTTCGAAAATAAATCTTAGAAAGTGTCAGAATTCCTCTAAATGAACCTTACAGACAAATACAATGCTGTTACTTTCTTTGTCAACCGGGTGCAATATAAATTATTGTAATAATCTTATTCTTTCCTTCCTATAGAATTATTGAAGACAGAATGATAAATGGAAAATGGTATTCGTATTGCCTTTCAACTATATAGATATTGCCAGATTTCAACAGTCATATGATGCCTATTATTCATGCAAATTGCCATGGTCTTTTTTCATATATATTGCCCAGCGCCTGGTCTGATCTTCCACAGATTTCATAATGTGTATGAAAATTCGACCCTAATTAAAAGATTAGGGTTCGCCAATTTTTGGTCGTTTTAAAATAAGTATTTCATTATCGTTTTCATTTACTATATTTACGTCATCAGTAATTATGTGTCAATCTGGACTATTTATGGTGTAATAAAATGAACACAAAGGAAGAAAAGATTTTAGATTATCGATATCTAAGCATCGTAGAATTTCATTTAAAAAAAGCTTGGAAGCAATATCTGATGAAAATAAAATAATGAAATTTAAGTTCCCAGGATCAATGGACGAGACCAAGGACGGTGCTAAGTTGTTCATAAACAAGAGTTAATTGTACAGTGTACCTTATCCTCTTCACATTTGTGCCTTTCTATTCCTGAACATTTTAGAGTCGAGCTACATGAATAAGATAATGATTTTAAGTCCTAACCAAAATGTAACAAGAGGTCAACAGTCTTATACAGGTTTCTTGACTATCATGCAACAACTTTCCAAAAATTTATTTTGGTTTGTGTTTTAAACCAGAGACTATGAAATTCACAATTTCGAAACAGGCATAATTGCTAATCATAACTTAACACATAGAATGCTTACTTTTATTACTTAATAAGTGGCAGATCTGAGGAAAAAAGAAAATATGCATTTCCAATATATACCAGTATTCATAACTGACCCACCCCACAGGAAGAGGCATTATAACTCGTCATTACTATGTACATAATTTATCAGCTTACGTGTAATATCCAAAAGCAAAAGAGAAGATTTCTCAAAGAATTAATGCATTTTCACTATGTTATCCTATGATATCACCAGAACCCTTGCTCCAGGGGCCATGAAATTCACAATTTTGGAAGAGGCACCATCATGACTATGTACATAGTTTATTAGTTTAATACCCAGGACCTGAGGAGATTTTTTAAAAGAAAGTTTTCACTATCTATTCAGCAGAACCCAGTCCTAGCACCAGAATCCCTGACCCTGAGGCCATGGATTCTACAATTTTTGGTAGACGGTTCAATGCGTATTACAATCACGCAACAGTTTGACTGCTTGATGTCCAGGAGTAAAGAGGATTTTTGAAGATTGCATTAATTCTAGTGCTTTTGGTCCCACCCTGAGGCTCCAGGGGGCCAGGGACTGTGATATTCACAAATTTTGTTCCCCTTTGCCCATAGATGTTATCTGCAAAGATTGGTTGAATTGGATAAGTGGTTTCAGAGAAGTTGAATGTGTCCAAAACTTAACGCCCGACGGACGACAACGGACGAAAACAAATAGCAATAGGTGACCTAATAATTAAGAGGCATGAGTAACGATGTGTTTTATTCAGTGGCTGGAGCCTGAAAAATACTCAGATTGGTTTTATTTATTGTAAAGCCGTATGCATACAGACACTCTTTGTAAAACCAAATAGAAGCGAAAAACGAAATTTTTCTTTTCATTTTCCAAAGATGATGCCACTGTTTTCCCTGAAATGAACGTATTGAAAAATGATTACAATTTGTATATAATATAAAAAAAATAAAATAGTGCCTCATGTTTATTCTTTTGTGCGATTAATATCTTTTTAAAATACCTTCGTTCGCAGACATAATGCCTCGTCAAGGAGAGACACTCCAAGTCGTTCCACTGATAATGATGAAGACGATCCATTAATAAGCAGTTTTGGGAATGATAATTATTTGGTTGACCTGGAGCAAAATTTGTATAATTCAACTTGTACCCATGTGGTTCCCATTGCCATGAACCTTCCACTGTCCAATCTGTCGCACCAAGCCACGTGTTATTAGCTGAAAAGAGTGCAAAATGCCGTCATTTGCTGTTATATGTCTCGAAATACGTTTCTCTTTTGTATGCTTGTGCAGATAGAGTACTGTATTTTTTTTAAATGATGATAAAAACTAACAAGTGCACTTTATAACGATTGTAATGTGTTCAATATTTCTATTGCCAGCCTCTCTTATTTACTCGTACTGAGCAATATATTATCATCATTTAATCTTCCAATTGATTTGATACTAGTACACAATGGCATGTTCTATAAACAATCTTTAAAAACAATACAATTGACCAACAAATTGATGATACGCGTAAATAAGCAATCTCATTTAGAAGGTTCTATACAACCACAGTTTTATTCATATTTCATTACGATACAACTTATTATTATAAGTATTTTATATTAGGTAAATCAGGATAAAAGTGTATTAAAGTAAATAAATTTACAAACATCATTTCATTCCTAGTGCAACTTAGCTTGTAAAAATATATTAATGGGAAGATTGATTGATTGACTGTATATTGTTTAACGTCCCTCTCGAGAATTGTTCACTCATGTGGAGACGTCACCGTATGCCGGTGAAGGCCTTCAAATTTTGACCTTTACTCGGCACTCTGGGCCATTGAACAGTGAGGGATCTTTATCGAGCCAACGCCTGCCGCTGACACGGGACCTCGGTTTTTAAGGTCTCATCCGAAGGACCCGCAACTTTCACTTCAAAGTGCCGAGCGCATGGCGAAGGAACAGTTGCTACCCATTTTTTATCGACTTAGGTCAGTCGCGGCTGAGATTCGAACTCACGACCTCTCGATCACGGATTATTAATCGGAAGAAAAAACGCTGAATACTAGCCACTGGACAATTGAAATATGGAGATCCTAAATTTCTATATACTAACCACTGGACGATTGAAGTAAGTGTGTAATGAAGACCTGTTCCTCAGCATCGTCTATATGCACTAGGTAGCTTTCGTGTATTTCACACATTTTCTGAAAAAAATTAACTTCTAAACAAATAAATGTGTTCTGTTGAAATTCTAAATAACATAATACTTTAAGTAATTATAGAATTGATAAATAAACTTTATTAAAATGAATAACTCGTTAAGGGAAAAAAAGGTTATCTAATAAAATGATAACATTATGTGTATTTATAACATACCATAGCATTAAACCAGTTCTGGGAATCCCTACTGACATGGTAACAAGAGTTCCTGTATATTGTCCATCCGTAAGGACAACAGGATCCTACAATGATAATAGTTATTCAGCTTAGAGATACCACCATTTTAGAAATAAATATACAGATGTGTACATGTATAGTAACTTTTGTACATCTCAACTCCAACAGACCATACTCAGTATTCCATTGGCTAAAAACAATAAAATCTAAATTTCTATTCCTTACATATATATCAATCTTACCTTCTTTCCACAGTAATAACAGTAATAACAAAACAAGTACAACATGGTAGGGACGATTGCTTAAAATCATATTGCCAACTCAGAAGATAAAACCCATTCTCTTATCATTTCTATCGTAATAAAATGAAGTTTTTATCATTCTATGTATAGATACATACTGTGACATTATGTTTAATTAATCAATATTTTAGCATCGTACTTACAGAAAAAAAAGATCATTTATCAAAGGTAATTCATTAATTTTTATCCTTATTTGGTAAGGAGCATTTAATAAACTCTACCTAGTTTGCTTTTGTGAAACCTTTTTCACTGAAAAGTATTTATTTGCAGCATAAGAATATCATATATAATCAAAACATACTTTTATTAAGGAATATAAGAAATTGAAACAACTATTTTCCTTCCATGCATGTGCTTAAAATCATGGTAAGCTTGAAATAAAAGATGGCATAGAGTCTAATATATCTGTTCAATATCTTGATATTTTACTAGAAAAAGACGTTAAAAGTAATCTAACCACAACATTTTATGATATTTTAACGTGCAAGACTTTAACTTTGCAGTGGTCAACTTACCTAACTTCCTTTATCACCTTAATACGGGGTTTTATCTCTCAGTTGATTGATACACAAGAACATGAACAATTTTTTAAAACGATGTAAGTTATTGACGAACAAATTAATGAAACAAGGATATCAGTAGTCTCGTTTTAAGTCATCATTTCTTAAGTTGTATGGTGGATACAATGACCTTTTCAGCAAATGCAATTTGGCTTAAGTCAAATTCTCTGACTGACGTTTTACATATTAATTGCAAGGCCATTAATTTACACACTGAATTGACGTCAGATTTTTCTTTATTTCCTGATCATGAAAAGTAGCATACTTCTGAGCTTGAATACTTTTCGTTTTCTTCATACATGTATATTTCATAATACAAAATGTTTTTTTTCTAATTTTGGATTATCTATTTCTCATTTTTGTGGAAAAACCTTGTTTCTGAATATACATTTTATTTACAAGTTTTACTGGATAAAATGAAAAGTTTTACGATATCTAATGAAAGCATCGATTTCAACAATTATTACTGGTAAATTATTAGATTACGCAGTGGCTCAGCTACGTGTTTTTCATGGATGTCCCTCAAACATGACTTAACATCCTCCACAAACTAATATACTGGTATTCGGTCATCATTCCTCATATACAGTATAAGTAGATATGAGGAAATGCACAGAAAGAACATCTCTACAAAGATACAAACCCCTAAGATTTAATTAAGCAAACCACACATACTGACCCCACGATTGTTGCGATGCTAAAATAACCATTCTACCACACTTTAATATTTTTCCTCATTCATACATTAATTATAATGTTTGTAATGATGATAAAATTCTTTACAGAGAGAGAGAGAGAAAGAGGTGGCAAAAAATGCTTGAAACATTAAAATACTCAATTCATAGGTCGAATAGATAAACTGTTCTTTGTCCATGTCTTTAAAGATGTGGATAAAAGATATAGTTCATACAACTTCTGGTCTAGTTTCTGTTTCAATATATAACATTTTATAGGGTCTGTAAGTCTCGTCACGTGACTCGCGAGATTCTACGATAATTTTCACTTCCGGGTACCTGACACGAGGAACTGTGTATTGAGTTGAGCATGTTTCTGGTTTATACAAAGCTTTTGAGGAAAAGTTAAGTAGTTATACAAAGCAGAAGGGTTCTCCGACTTACGATGGATGGATTGCGTGTCATAAAAGCTTGGGTGCGAGTGTCCACCAGGAAAAATTCGATCAAAGTACAGGTAAACATTCAGAGAATGTCAACTGTTTCTTGTTTATTTTGAGAGAAAATGAAGTGTTTTACTTTATACCCGAATGAAATAGATTCATAATCATCTTTCGCCTAAATTTGTTAACAGATTTTTCTCGAATTCGAGGACGATAATGTTATTATCAGCTAATTATAGAGGAGAAGTTTTGTCAGTGTCCGATGGGTACAAACGTCATATTGTGGAGCCTGCATGCATCACTTTTGCATCGGTAAATATATTTTTTTTAAATAAAGTTTTACCTGTTGTGTGTCACTGGCGGATCACCTATTTTACATCTATTTCCCATGAGATGTTCATATAATTATATTTTGCTATTTGAAGTATTTCGCTGCATTCAACATTTAACAAAATTCAAATCACTTCAATACAATAAACATACATGTGTAGAAGTTCGGGCTTTATGGACCGTGGATATCAGCCTGGATAGCTCAGCGGTTAGACACCTGACTAGTAATACACAGGTCCAGCACAATACCCCGATAAAGGTATATAGCTTGAACTCGACTTTCAGTATTTAATTTTTAAAGATTTTTTTTTGAATTTTCATTACATAAAATACCTTGATCAAGGTATTTTAAATACCTTGATAAAGCTATATAGCTTTATCAAGCTATATACCTTTATCGGGGTATTGTTCTGGACCTGATACAGGGGTCCCGGGTTCGATTCCTGTTCCAGTCACAAGTTTTCTTCGTGCATTTCTCCTTTCCTACTACATTTGGTGCTGTGCCATGCCCTGGAACTGACAGGTGAAAGACCTGCCAGGGATGAGCCTGGATTGGGGTCTTTGGGAGCCAAAGACCTTTAAGGAGGGAGGAATACGGCGCCGCTGTCAGCCGGGTTCGATTGCCAGTGGCCAGATAGCTCAGTTGGTAGAGCACCTGACTGGAGTTTCAGGGGGCCTGGGTTCAAATCCCGGTCTGGTCCGCTGCATTTTCTCCTGTTTATTTATTCATCGATCTCATACAATTATATACATTAAAACTTATTTTATAGCATAAGTACAAGAGAACCAGGCAGTAACAAAGATGAAAGATGCTGTTGCTGAAAGATCCAGTCAAGCACATAAGACTAAACTAACTTGAATGATCAGCCTCCTTAAAAATGCAAATCAAATACAGGTATGAAATTGATCAGATGCAACAGAATAAGATCTAGGACATATATATATAATTTATTTTCATAAGACATAGTATATCAAAATATTACAAAAAGGTCATGGATGTCCAGTAATGCATTACCCTTGCCCCACCCCAGGGTATTCTTTTAGACATTTACCCATGATTAATCTATACTGTCATCTCACCTCACTATTAATCGATTGATTGTTGTTTAACTTCCCTCTCAAGAATTTTTCACTTGTATGGAGACGCACCCACTTGATGGTGGAGAGATGTAAATTTTGTCCTATACTCGGAGCCATTGTCAATTTAAGCAGTGAGGGATATTTTTCATGCCAGTACCTGTGACATAGTTTAAACGGTCTCATATGAAGTATCCACATCTCCATGTTCCACAGTGTGCAACGTAATCACCTCAGTATTAAAATGGGATGAAACCCTTGTATACAGTTTAAATGAATAATAATATTATATATACATGTATTGAATTTTTTTTTTTTTTATAAGATGACTAATAAACTTGTCAACATTGGCCATCATTAAATATGTGTTTGTATCCAGACTATCCAGATTAGTTGGTAGGTTTTTTTTTTGCCTTACAGTATTGAAAAACATTGATAACTGTCATATTAAAAATCACAGACTCAGAAATTTGTTGAAGTTTTAAAAAAAATTGAAGTGCTGAAAAAATGATAACTAATGGTAGGGCAGATTTTAATGGGTAAGGCTGAGTACATCAAACAAATCATTTTGTTATTGTTGGCCTTAGTAGGGGCACTCTAGATATGAAAATACAGTGTGTAAAACAAATATTTTTAAATCAAATTTTTTTTATGAAAAGGCCTTAGACATTTTTTGGTATAAAAAGGACAATTTTTTCTTGTAAAAATATTGATAAAATTTAATGAAGAAGGTTAAGATTTGTATTAAATATCCAGTAAATGGATATTTACCAGATTTATAACTCATTACACCTAAATTATCAGTAATGCATACTGGAACAACTGTGCAATAATTCGAATGACATTTTACAGAAGTTTGCTAAATTACAGGTTTTTGTCAGCTTATTTGGAAATCTTAGGACATCACTGATTTGATCAAGAACTCATCCAGCGTGAAGACCAGCCATGTGCCTCACTTGTCATGACATTATTAAAGGTAAGTAACCCTATCAGCAAAGAATTGACAAGCAAATCCTTCAAAAGATTTTCATTTAGGATACTTATATAATTGGTAGTTTTAATACCGTATAAGCATAATTTTTAGCGAGGCATTATCAGCTAGGTTTCTGAGATTGCTAAAATTGAATATCACTGAAAATTAAATGTGTTTAAGTTGTAATAATAATTTTAATGAAAATTATATACAAATATTATAAAGTTAGTAATCTTTTAAAAATCGCTACAATTACTTCTCGCTAAATAGAAAATACCAAATTTTAAGGACAAATCACTAAATTTGCATCATGATTCGCTAAAATTTCCACTTGTACAATATTTTAATTTCTGTAAAATGTTTTGTTACATTTTATAAAAACAAAAAATATATATTTAAATCAAAATCATTTTATTTCAGCACTTTGTGACAGTGGGAAGATGGGATTTAAAACATGACATGGCTCTATATTACTGCATCAAAGACCAATCCAGGTTTACGTATAAAGTGAAGGAAAACAGTCAAGCATCATTTTGAGCCACGTGTACATATGTAACCGCCTAGGCGCATTTACAATATGTCCTCTTATTTAAGAAATCACAGTGACCAGTTGTACCTATGATGTCGGACGAGATCCTGATAAAAACTTCTGTTGCACTCATCACTACCTGCAAAGAAATGAAAATTTTAAATGACTTGTATCAACACTTTTGTACTACATCTGGCTTGTATTTTCAGATCTTGTTAGCCTTTATTTTCCTTCAAACAAAATTTTATAAGTACTAACCTGCAGGTGTAAAATGTTTGAAACAATTTGCTTGCCTCAGAAGAAAATTCTCTGCCATTTAGCAGTGTCATGAGCAGTTGATTGAGGTCACAATTCCACCGGCAAAGAGTACATTGGGTATTTGTAGCTGAATGGTGCCAAATAAAACACTTTTCACAAGAACCTGGCAAATGTATTAAAGTGGAAGTGAGCATCTACACAAAAAATGAATACTTTCTCAAATATTAACAGTGATATATTATGCCTGTGTACATCCTAACTATATATATATAACTAATTACACAAGTAACTAGCAAATATACAATGTCAACTTCCTTAATTTTTTTCTCAAGTTCATGTATAGTGTATTAAAATAAACATGCAATATTTGTCTTGTTACACTGAAGTATTTTTAAGAAAATGTCATTCATTGAAACAAGTGTGCAAACACTCTGCACAGTTAGCTATTTTTATGGAGAATTTACATGTACCTATCAACATGCATTTTGAATCATGGGGATGTAATGTTAGGCACACCGAAGGAGAAAAGTAATTGTTAACAAAAGTTTTTACCAATCAAGTTTGATATTTAATAAGAAGGTATGTGCCAAACTTAACTAGTATTATGGTTCATTCAACTTAATTTATTTATCATTGTATGTGAGCTTTCGTGAATTTGATAAATAAATGAACTAGTAGGTTTGATAATGAAGAAAGAAAAAAGAGCAGCCCAAAATTTACTCAATACAAAAGAAAATAAATTCCATCATTAACTACTTGGAAGTTGTCACACTCTTCATGAGTATAAGAATTATGAGATATACTATACATAATGTAAACATATTACATTTAGCCATATATTTTACTTAGTGGAAAACTTAGTCCGCCTATCCAAGTACATCACTAAATGTCTTGTATATGAATTTAATAACTAGCACATTCAGATATCTAATAGTATGATAACTTGTTGAAAATTGAATTTCCACCAAATATTGTACACACCAAATGTAATACATTTACAGTATGTATGCCTCATGAACAGAACAGATCTATACCGGTATATGGATGACACATTCAGTCGAAGTGTTGTCCCTTTTTCCATATCTGCTGGATCCCTATAAAATATGATGACAAATGTAGATAAAATATTCTATCGTTGAAGGATGAATGTCCTATGGACCCAGTCAATGCCTTTTTGGAGACAACGTTAGATTGATCTATCTGACAAATGCCTTCATTAAAAATATTCCTATTTCTAATTCTCATTTAAGAAAGAAAAAAAAAGTCTGTCTCATAATTGTAAGAGTATTCGGGAAGGGAGTCGTAAGGCTATACAAGTTATATTGAAATTGAATATATATAGTGTATACATCCCTGTTTACATGAAAGAAGTAATATTTGACATTTTTATTTCTGGATAGAGTACATAACAAGTAAATCTATTTATTTCTACTGAAATTCAAGTATAACACATAGGCTTTAGCCCCCCCCCCCTTTTTTATTGCAAATATATGCATAATATAGCATTGAAAATTGGTGTTTACCTTTATTTTGTTGGTTAAGCCCCCCCCCCCATTCTATGTATTCGTCCCGTGTGCTAAATAAATGAAATAAATTTAAGGAACCAATCTTTAGGGAACGTTTTTGTTTGGAAACACATTATTTCAGCTTTAAAACTATTTTAATTTTCCTTTATGCTTTAAAATGTTCGCCAACCACACTGCTAATCGTGACCCATTCGGAATGGCTTGTATGTACGTCGTTTAATAAAACAATAAAGCAGTTAAACGCTGTTTACCTGTATCAATCAATCCATTATATCCTTTTCTTTTCAATAATCGGGAAACAAACGACATGACAGGCTCTGCTAGTCCACCGCGAGGCGTAAAACTAAATGCCAAGCGGTAATCCATTGTCTCCAAGAACGCTCAAGTACCCGGAAGTTAGAAAACGAAAGTGAAAGTTAACGAGACTTACAGACCCTATTGAAAGCTCATTGGAAAAGACATACAATCACAATTATAGTTGTCAGAGTATTCACTTCTTGATTGTTTCAGCCAACAAGGTTTCCAGTGATATCGTCCCTACAAAGCAGAAATTATTTACAATCCTGAACTGAAACACTAAATTATTTTGTTAACATATTCTTTTTTTTTTCTTTTTAGCTGTTCAGGGTACAAAATTCCCATGTACGTGTAGCATGTATTTTAAAAACATGATAAATAAATGTAATTTAAAAAGGAATTTTAAAGAAAAAGTGGCTACGTTACATTTGCTTGCAGATATAGTAGTTTCGATCATAGCAATTTCTGTCATCCCAAACAAAGGTGTGGTGGTTGTTTGAGGAACCATCAATCAAGAGGCAATCTTCCTGGTTCAGTCTATCGTCTGGTTCTCCATGACCAAAGTTTTGGTAATTCATTTTGTCGCCGTTGGGTTCCCATACAAATGTGCCTTCGTTATCCCAGTCCGTGGCTCCTAACCAAACAACGTCCTCTGAAATCATAGTTTCTCAGTCATCAAGGATCTATTGTAAAATCAGATATTCTAGTGGGGACAAATTATCGAGGTCTTAGGAAAAATATTGGTTTGTGTTGACTTGATCCCGTGCTTGGAGAATGTTTGGAAGTAATGCATATGATATTTTAATTTCCTTGGTGGTCATAAATTTGTGGGTCTCTCCGTGCCTCGATATCAACGAAAATTACCCCCCCCCCCCCACGAAAATTAGTGATTTCACAGTATTAAAACTCATTTACCTCACCCCGTCATCCCAGCTTTCTGTCTGATTTCACACGTCCTCTGTTATCAACTCAGTGAACAATTCTTTGTTTTGGTTATTGGAAGTTTTACAACCAATATATTAACACGATGCCCATTTATACCCATGCATTCCGATGCTCATAGATAACCGTTGTAACCTCTCATATGCAATATGACGTGAAAAGAATGAGATGCCATAGATTTTTGTGATTGGATTGGCTAATGTTTGTTCCACATGGCCGTAGGAATCGAGGGGGGGGGGTGTTGGGTGTGCCCCAAATAGTTTTGCCGATATATAGACTACTATAGAAAACATAACTACTACATATGTATACTGAAATTGCTTCCTACGGGCCTGGTCTGTACGATATAACTGACAAATGTAACCATTTCCCCATACTTGGCGTGAAGAACTACTTTTTAGATTATGCCTGTCATGACACATGGCCTCAATTTTTTTATGGTCTCATCCCAAAACCCGCAATTTCAACTTCAACAACACAAATAATAATTTGATTTAAAGACCGAACTGCTTCTGGTTTCATGGAAAGGCATCTATTATAATAAGTGATCCATCTTAAATAAACCAGAATTATACATCTCTCTTTCTTTTAATAGGTTTTAAAACTTACTTTTATATTGTTTCATGAGGCTTACAATAAAATTATGTTCTTCCTGGTTCAGCACTGATGCAAGATTGGATCCGTGAATTTGACACATTGTCTGAAAAGAGAAAATTAGGACAAATGTAATGAAGACCTTAATTTATTTAAAATTGGTACGACACTTAAAAGTTGCAGAAAAGGAAGATCTGAAAAGGCACGTACAAGGCAATTAATGTGGCAGTTGAAGATCTGAAAGTGTACACCAGTGGATAATCAAGCGGAAACCGCTATTCACAGCAGTACTTTAATATATTAAAATAAAATTACCCACCATTCCATCAAACCAAGATTCCACTTCTGGACCCATGTGGTAACAGGCAGGTCCGTGTTTTATCCATCCCGCCGGACACGCCCATACAATATAAACTGAAATATTTTTAATCCTCAGTAGGTTATTAATATTGAATCCTTTTTGCTAACTATTTACCATGATGATGACGCTTACACTTAGTAGAATTACCGTTCCAACATTGAAATGGTGAAATAAATGTCAATTTTGATAATTTATTATTGATTAACAATTTAATATTTTTAATTTTTTTTAATCTTGATGATATATATAAACAAACTATTCGTTTCCAATTAAAAAAAAAAAAACAGTAAAATTTTGTTTATTTTGATTTCAAGAAAAGACAGATTTTTCTGGGAAAAAATGTAAGAAGGGAAAATTGGTTATTTAAAGGCGAAGAAAGTTGTTCAATCTATATTGTTTGAGCCGAATGGCTGTGAATTGCTTTTAATGAATGAATAATAAACCATTTTACACACACTTACCTGCAAACTGAAGACAAAACAACTGAAGAATCTCTGAAGTCATTATTTAGATTTTGTCTGATAAAGTTCAGATAGATTTAACCAATGTCACAATAATCGGAAATTGACCTGAGAGTGTCCCGATAAGCAGAAGAGGCAATGCATGGACTTTGTGAATAAATCAAAATAAGAAAACCGTGTATATGTAACAAATTAGGAACAAGCATCTTCGTATCAAATGATGACGTCAAATTCTTTGTTCCTAACGCAGCGAATTGACGTTTACAATCCCTGGACTTTGGAGTGACTTTTCTGAAATCTTATGAAATGAAATATAAGGAGATAACGAACAGTATTCAAGCTCAAAAGTCCATAAAACAATACAAAATTGGAGCAGAGCAAATTCGGACCTACAAAACATCAGAGGTGGGATCAGGTGCCATGGAGAAGTGAGCATCCCCTGTCGTCTGGTCGCACCTTCCGTTTGCTTCTTGACAGGATTGGGAAATAACGGAAAAATCCGTAGTCAATTCAGTGTGTAAATAATGGACTAACAGTTGGTATGAAAAATGTCAGTCAGCATTTGACTAAATGGTAAATCGAATTTGCTGACAAGGTCATTTTATCGACCATAAAACTTAAAAATGATGACTGTAAACGAGACTGCTGATATTCTTGTTTCAGCAACTTGTTTGTCAATAATTTACCTCGTTTAAAGTCGTTTTATAAATTGTTCATACGTAGGGTATGCTCTTGCGTATCAAATCAACTGAGAGATATGAACTCTGTATGCAGGTGATAAAGGTATATTGCTGCTTATGTAAGGGAAGTTGACAATAGAAAAGTTAAAGTCATTACATTTATCAAAGAGCTTGGTTGCTAGATTACCACTAACTTTTTTTTCAAGTAAAATATCCATATAAGAAACAGATGTGTCAGAATCTGTGTTATTTTTTTTTATCTCAAGCTCACCAGGATATATCGTATCGACATAAGAATGGAAATAAACCTTGTTTATTGACAATACGTACGTCGTCGATATATCTAAATGTCGAATTGAAGGCCACGGCTAGTATTTTCTTCTTTTCACGTATAAGATTTTGGACAAATTCTGCTTCATGTGAATACTAAAATAGGTATGCTCTCATGATGTTTTCGTTTCAGACATTTTGTTTATTAAACCTTATTTTGTGATGTCAAACAGCTGTTTTAAATTGTTTTATAAACTTTCAAAATAAATTAGGAATATTGTGATTAATGAGCTCACGAAATAGCCCTCCTCTCACAATTGTAAAGTCAATCTTTTGTTGTGAGCAACTTGAGATATGTAATCGATCAGATTATAAAATAGGAGATGCAGAATATCATTAAATAGAAAAGATGTTGAGAAATTATTTTTTTCTTTCAAATTTCATTCGATGGAATTCTAGGATTTCCAGTTAAGAGTTCTGCTCCCCCTATATTATAGGAAACCAAAAGATGCACATCATAATGATTGATTTAAAAAATGCAACCAATACAAGTCAGTCAATCGGGCATAACAAATTGCCCCGGAACACGGAATTCTTTGTTCAGATCCCGTAGAAGAGTATTCATACGCTGCCATCCTGTCTCATCTGCCGTGAGCCATATGCATTGATCAGTAAAGGAAATCATTTCGCACTCAAATTAGGTAATTAAAAAACAGAGGCCTTAGAATTAGTATGAACCACACCAGCAAATGATAGGTTTTGTTTGCTAATAAGGTCATTATAAAAACATTATAAAACATTATAAAAACATGGAATTTACGAAAAAAAAACTGACTTCCAAAGACATCGCTTTTGTCGTATAATTTAGTTTTAATATATTAAAAACATTCATATAACATGGAATAGATGTGAGAGACTCTTTAGTGTCTTTTATTTCGAGTACTGGAATGTTAAACTAAAGGCCACAGCAAGTATTTTCTTTACTTACAGAAGTTTTAGAATAAATTCTGCTTCAAAGAAATAAAAAAACAGGTCGGCAAATGAAAGATATCCATCGGAAATCAAACAAGTTGTCACAAGAACTTGTCTCCAATGAACACTGATGAATATTTGCGGACAAGAGATTAGCACTTCCCCGTGTGACAGACGTACACCCTCATCACTATTAAAAGTAATTCTTAAGCAAATAGTATTTGAAAAGTCTATGACGCCCTCGAAATATTTTATGAAGTCAGTTTCCTTTTAGTATGATTATGGTTCTATCAAGAAAAAATGTGTTTCAGTTTGTCATTAAAGAACATTAATAGTTGGAAATATTTAACATATTGTGGTGGAAATCATCATATAAGTATCACGTGATGAAATGCCTACTTATGTTGTTTAGCTCTGATATATGGAACAAATACTGTAGAATCACTTATTTTTGTGATGTAAAACTTTGTTATTCAGTCATGTTATGATATAAATAATAAAAACGTAAAAACGTTGGTTTCATATAACACAGTATTCATTGTTTGAGAGTACCGGTAGTTTTCAGTGTATTTAATTTTATGCGTGAAGCTTTCTTTCCTAAATCATAAAAACTAAAGAATAAGTCAATCTAATAGGTGTTTCATCAAAGTGTTATATAAAATTAAATCAAGTCAATTTTACCTGACAAAAAGTATTGCTAGACATTACTAAAGGGAATAAAAAACTTGTCTGTAGTTTTTTTTTTCAAAAACAAAAGTATTATGCACAGTTCAGAGACGATAAATAATACAAAATATTGGTGTCTGTCCCAAAAAAATCAAGAAGTAATGGTTGTATAAATTTATCCTTGTATCTTTCTGTATGAAGCAAGAATATTTTTGACAGCGCTTAGATTAAGAAAGAACATGACATCAATATATTGAAAATACATGTATTTTTCTTCTCAAATACCATCAACCAATAAGAAATCCAACGTCTGCATCACTGAAACACAAATAAGATGGAGTTAATTCTGGCAACGCAGGTCCTAGGACCAAAAGAATTATTTTTGCTGGCAAAAAGTTCTCAGATGCCTTGTACATTAAAAGTTATTTTAAAAAGAATTGCATCGTCAACAAACAAACAACTAAATGAATAAAATAAAATGAAAAAAAATATAATATTGTATTTTAAAAAGTTCAAATCATCAGCTCTATATGTAGATATGATTCTTGACGCTTTACACGTCTTACTTTGGATAATACATATTTAAAAATATACATGTACCATGGCCTATCAGGCTATTTTGCTGTAAAATATGTATATGTGGTCACTTCATGAACTCATCAAAGACTTTTGCAAGGTAAGCTCAATTATCGTATTTTTTAAAAAAATGTGTATTAATCATTTATATTTATAACTGTAAAATTAAGCAAATAGATGATAGAAAATTTTTTGAAGGCAATTGAATTTACACTCAATAACTCACATTAATTCGCAAACGTAACAGTGCAGATTCTCGCAGCTCCTGTCGTCCCACTTATAGCTGTGATGACTATAAGACGAGCCGTCAATCATCAGACAGTTCTCTGTGCCTAAATTATTAGGCCTTCCAACGTCAAAGTTTGTATAATTGAGTCTATCGCCATTCGGCTCCCATACCCATAAGCCTTCAATGTTCCAGTCTGAAGCACCCAGCCATACACTATTACCTTGTGTTAGAAAGACTAAAATTATTGTGTTAACGTTCATATTGTGAAAGTTTTTTTTTTTCAGAGAAGAAAGATTTACAGGATCTGTAACACTCACAATTATTTTTATGCATGAGATTAACAATGAATCTGTCCTCCAGGTCATTTTCAATGTGAACGAGGTGACCCCCGTGAACTTGGCACATTTTCTGAAGTTACAAAATTAAAAAAAACAATACATTATTGTAAGGAATGAAAATTAGCAATGCTTTTGCATTATATCTATCATATTAAGAATATAAACATTAGGGTTTTAAACGATATTTACAAATAACTTAATGAAACAAGGACATTAAATGACTCGTTTAAATTCAACATTACGTAAATTCTGTGGTCGATGCAATGATCTTGTCTATCATTAAATCGAATGTTGACAGACGATTTTCATAATAAGTAATAGTTATTGTATATTTATTATGGTGTATCCATTAAAATCGCCCTTCGTCCAAATCAATACACCATAATAAATATTCAATAACTTTCTTGTATCATGGCCAATCAAACGTCTTGTCACAGATTTTCAGCATGATTTTTAATTACACCTATAGAAAATATAGTTTTTGTCAGGTGACCGCATGTATAATCTCTCCTTCCTGTCAGTATTTTTAATAAACATTTTAACGGATTGCAGCATCGGATTTCCTTGTCAACTGTTTTGGAGGCCCCCTTTCTTTTAAATGTAGCTACGGACTTAAAGTGGCCGAGTTGTGATTCTGGAGGTGTGATTCTGTGCATGAGTGCTGGGGGCACCGACCTGGAGCCCCCCTTTCAAAAATTGCTGGAAATCGATCCGCCCCTGGATTGTTAATGAAATTCACAAGAAAACCTTTGGATATCAAAGAAGAAAAATTCGAAGTTGAAGAAGGTAAATTCAAGTGTTATTCAAAAATCAAGAAAAAAAAATACCCGCTGATCATTTGATATATTTGAGAGCTGTCGTATTCACGAAAACGCTGTGTCAGGGTCAATTACTCTTCATCTGTGAATGCAGTACAGCTTAAGCCCTATATTACAACAGATGGGATATTTTAATATATTTCTGTCTAATTCATGTCAAGAATTTGATTTCATTTTTGAAGAGATCGTAAAATTTAGTTCAGAGATATATACGTACTGTAATTTATGTGAGACTTTTATTTCACTTGCAGAAACTTTGCATTTGTATATTACAAAGCCCATTCATTCTGTAATTCAGATTCAATATACATGTAAATCAAAATGATGAAATCGCCTTGGTGTTCAATAATTTATTTACACGGCACAGTTTTGGCTGGCTCCGCCCATCGGTGTATCTCCAGTTATTGTACACTTGACTTCAAAGGAAAAACACCGCAGCCATGATACAATTGTTAGGTAATGATTTTAACTCTGAATTGTCTATAAAGATTTTCTGTAACTTTCCCCAAAATTACGAGTCCATGGCAGGTGGTACCTGTCGACAGAGAATAAGAACTCCTCCATGGCATCTGGTATCATTTTTGATCTTTATAGAGTTTGTCTTTGTTCTACTCCCAATTTATGTAGATCTTATACACTTAAGAGCTCAATAACAATTAGAAAACTTTGAATTTCTTGACTTTAATTAAGTGGGAAATTCCTCCTTCAGAGTAAATAACTGATAAAATGATTTTATACACACCATGGCATCAAACCACGATATTTGTTCACGGCTGAAATGGTAACAGGAGGAGTTGTGCTTTTCCCATCCTACCGGGCAGCTCACAGTGTAAACTAAAACATCCAAATTTTTAGAGTCAGACCATATGATAAATGATCACAAAATAATCATCATTTCATAATTAAAATTCAACGTTACACTTAATTTTTCAATCTGAACAAAATTGTTCAAAAGCGTCGGAAAATAAACAAGAGCACAGCAAAGCAGAACATCCCCTCTTAAAGAGTACAACTATAAATCAAGACAGCGTTTGAATCGCGATACAAATAACGTCACTTCCATGTCGCTCAGGACATAAACACACAAACACATAAACATGCTAACGATAGTGTATCTCCTCCAACTCCGTTGCGAGGGGGTAAAAATTTGTTGGAAACCACTAAATTCTACAGATATGTTCTTTGAACCAATTTTCGCCCATATTGTGCGATTGATTTGAAAATAAAATAACCTAGAAAATAAAACACTTACATCATTATCGATAAACCCTTAACTTGACAGGCAATGATCAAGCTGTCCCTACATAAATATATACTGGTATGTTGTTTCTGCAGCAGCATCCCTTGCCTCCCTTCACTAATAATACTGCTTTGTTTGTTTGTTTAACGTCCCTTCGAGTATTTTCCCCTCATACAGGGACGCCACCATTTTGGTGTTGGAGGGCTGCAATTTTACATCTGTACTTGGACTTAGGTCCTTTGAGCAGTGAAGGATCTTTTTTTGACCGGACCTTGGTCTCATCTGAAGGACCAGTATCCGTGTCCTGCGGCAGTAACATTCCCGCGAAGTAAAGATCTTTACTCCCGACTCTATAGCAAGGTAACTCTCTATCCATGATTTCACCACACGGGCGATACTTATAAAGTTAATAAGTTTGGAGGTTAAATGTTATCCATTTTACATCATGGAACATGGTGTCCTTTATAACATAGTTTTCCCATCTCAGATTAAAGGTATATCTCAATTCAAATTCGTAAATAATATGTTAGAACTAGATATTGTCTTTCAAAAAAAAATTAACGTAAAAATGAAAATTAACGCTTTAAAATTAATACAACTCGTTTAGTTTTTTGGATATCTGAAGTGATTTTGGATCCCCCACTATATTTTAATGAATTTCATATACGGTTATAACGAATTACGGATATAGCGAAGTAACAAACTTCGTTATAATATATATGCTGTATATTTACTGTATATAGGGAGGAAAATAGAATGGTTAATAATTCCGATTTTTTTTAGATTTGCAATCAAGTACCCCACAACTTAATATGTATTAATCATTTAATGTGAATTGAAAAGTCAATTTTGTTCAGAATGCAAATATTTAAGTAGATATTCAACAAATACATGTGTATAATGATGCAAACACGTGATTTCCTAGATTAAAGGATAACAAAATTAACCTTTCGATTTAATTTTTTTTATTCATACAATCGAATTTGAACAGATAGTAAAATTTTGTTTCATATTTGGATATTCTACTTGAAAAAGACGTTAATGGTAATCTAACAACCAAGCTCTATGATAAACGTGCTGACTTTAACTTTTCTATCGTCAGCTTTCCTCACATATGCAGAAATATATACCCTCATCATCTGCATACGGAGTTTATATATCTCAGTTGATTCGATACGCAAGAGCAAGCTCTACGTATGAACAATTTCTAAAACGGGGTAAATTATTAACAAGTTGATGAAACAAGAATATCAACAGTCTCCTTTAAAGTCATCATTTCGTAAGTTCTATGGTCAATACAATGACTTTGTCAGCAAATACAATTTATCATTGAGTCAAATGCTGACTGACGTATTTCATACTTATTGTTAGTACATTATTTATACATTGAATTGACGACGTTTTTTTGTTATTTCCCGATCATGACAAGGAGCACACGGCGGATGTGACCGGTCGACAGGGGATGCTTACTCCTCCATGGCACCTGATCCCACCTCTATTGTTTTGGAGGTCCGTGTTTGCTCTGCTCCTATTTTGTATTGTTTTATGGACTTTTGAATACTGTTCGTTATCTGCATATGTTTTATTTATAAATAATAAATATTGACACAAAAATTAGGATAGATGCAATGAATCCATTATAGCGCATTTTCACTTTCCTTACATTGCAGAAACGCAATATTTAAAAAAATCCTGATAAACATAGTTCTACTTTCAAATTCATATTCTGACTTTACGCTATTTCTCGATCTTTAGTACTCGCATAAAGTAGATCTCTACATGAAATAAATTTATTACTATATGCCTACTACTTACCAAGTTGAACGGCACCAAAAAATAACGTTAAATGAATCACTGATAAGTATTCCACCATAATGTGTTGATATAAATGTAGAACACATTTAGTCTCACAATTCTTATCTTAATACGGTGCTATACAATATGTGTGTTGAAGCACTGAATGTGTGAAAGTCCCTGAAAAAATATGAACATTTAGAAATTAGTAAGAATATTGAAGAACGATAGTATTGTTCTCCTGATTTTGTATAACTTTGTTACAAAGATTTATACTGAAATAATTTTGTGTAATCCTGATGCATCATTTTGAATAAGGTTCTTGCATGATTATTAGATTTGTAGGGACTATCTACCAATTTTTTTTTTGAATACTTGATTCATTTGTGTCAGACTAAAAGTTTCATCTGAAATTCATATAAAGAAAAGATATAATACACATACACACAAAATGTTTTATATAAAAGATTATACATATTGCAATTGCTTTTAATCAATATATAAAGTTGCTTTTTCTCAAATTCATTAAATAAGTTAAACCTAGATATTGATTTGATTTGTTTATAGTTATGGTAGCTCCTTACACTAAACTAAATAATTTCTCTCTAATTTGGCATGCTTTTTCTGTTATCAAAAATGCAGTACTAGTAATAATAAGATATTTGAACATTTATTAATATTAAAGGAAAAAAAATATTTTCCTAATTTTCATGGACATATTGACATTTGTCCATGTGTAATTCAATAGTAAAAGATAGGGGTTTTTTTAATTTCACGGTGACCTTGAAATAGGTCATGACACACCTTCTACCCAAAATGCATAAATTGGCCAAGTTTGATGATTTTAAGTCTAATAGTTTTCTAGTTATGAGTCATACAAAACAACAAAAGAAAAAATGCCTGTAAAATGCACAAAAATCATCCAATCATGAGAAGGTGCACACCTTTGATGAAAATACAAAAGACAAATCCTCAATAGTATCTGAGAAATCACACACACGATTGGCATATTGGCAAAATGTTTAAAAATGCCTTTTAACGTGCTCTTAATTTATTCATTAACTAGTAAAACCTATCATTTAAGTAATACTTTTATTGGCAATTTTGTTGCCAGCTGTTAGGCTTTGGTTTTTATGTTGAATTTTACCTGGGGATATTACTTATACCATCGACACATGAAATATGTAGAAAATGAAGAGTATTTAAGCTCAAAGTATATTTAACAATTCAGATTGGGAGCAGAACAAACACGGACTTCAAAATATCAGAGGTTTGATGAAGTACCATAGAGGAGTGAGCATCTCATGCCGATCTGTCAGACTCGCCGTGTGCTCCTTGTCATGATCGGGAAAAACATACAATCTGTCGACAATTTACAGTGTTAATAATGGCCTAATAATTAGTATTAACAACTTCAGTCAGCATTTGAATTAATAATAGGTTGCATTTACTGATAGGTCATTGTATCAAACACATTTGCGAAATGATGACTTCAAACGCGACTGCAATTATCCTTGTTACATCAACTTTTTAGTCAATAGATTACCTCACTTTATAGAAACTGTTCAAACGTACAGCATGCTTTTGCATATCGATTGAACTGAGATTTCATAGAATTTACTGTTGTGGAAAACGGTCGGCATGGGCTGCTTACTAATCATAGGAACCTGTTCCTGTCCATTGAAATTAAGAGAGTCGATGTTTTATGTTCTGCACACCTTCTGTATCGTTTATAATTGGTAAAAGGCGACTAGTGTTCGTTATCTTCACCTTTTCCATCAAAGGATAAAGTAAAGTTATTTTGATCAAAATTTGAATACATTAATTTGGATTTCAAGTTTAACACAAAGTCTAGGTGAAATTGACCTAAAAGATACCTTAAATGAAATTAAATTCTTAAGTGTTTATATCTTAAAATAACGCAATTATTATCATTTTTGAAAAAAATGATAATAATGTGTATAATTATGTCAATTATTATGTGTGTTCTCTTGAATTATTTGGGAGATACCATGGCCAATTTTATTATTCTTTGTACTAAGGGAATATCCCGGTGATCTCCCCTTAACTAGTTTGTGTTATATACTTTTGTCATTTAATAAATGACAATTTTCACTCAATATACATTGTCTTTGTTATATTTCAACTACAGAGGTAGTCTAGCCAGATCACTAGGATTATATAAAATTATATTTTATTGATTCAGAGAAACTACGAATAAAATTGAAAGAAAATCCATTTAATTAAAACCTGATGTGATATATTTCGAGTAAGAACTTTCATTGTAAACCATCTGTAAATATTATTTCAAATGATCAATTTAATTTGTAAATCAATAAATTTTAGCACGTACAAAGAAAAAAATTAATCAATGAAAGAAATTACAAATGAAATAATTGACAAAGTTTCTTTTAAATATTAAAATATTATGTACATGTATGTGTAGATATTAATATGTTAAATACATTTAGGCAAGCAGACACATAAGTATTCTAGACCCTTTTGAAAGAACACTTCAAAACCTTGTGTATAGCCATAAATTTCTTAAGCAAAGTATCATAAATTTTAGTGATAATTGTATTGCTAAACTTGTACTTTTACATCCATTCTTTTACAATATATTATTCTCTATAGTGAATTGAACAACAGTTTTCGTATATACACAAAGATTGCCTCAAACAAATTGACATTGTTAACGATATACAAGTGACTTAGTCTCGTATAATAAATTAAATCTAATTAACATCTTTCACTACTCATCGAAGATATTGAATAGCACTTTAAAATTACATTAATTTGTTAACATGAAAGCGTTCAAATGTGTTAGCTGCAACGTTTTGAAAGACATTTTGGTTTTTCTTAACATAAAACAACCATTGTATTTTTCATTTCATGTTCCGTGGGGGTACATAACGTCCACGTACTCTGAAAAAAACATAAACAGAGAATAACAGTTAGAGTTGCTATATATTATCTTAATTTTATTGATTCGAAAATTGCATTATAATTATACCCCTATTAACTACTATAAGGTAAGAAATAATTAATTTAAATCTTAACATGATATTTTGTACTGTTTATTATACATGTATTATATTCTTTTCTATTTGTTTGTATCTTTTTCTACCTCCTCTTTGCAATGTATGTTTGCACATTGAAGAGAATAAATCATTGTCACTGCCGATTTAAATCACAAAAAATGATTAACTTAAAAGGGTATTGAAAGTAAAATATACAAACCGTCATTTTTAGTCTCTATTTTGCCGTCCTTGTATATTTCTTGTGAGTACCAAAAATGGCTTTCTAGAAAAACACAGCAAATTTAATTATTATCATTTCGTCCACCTCTCTGTCCGTTCAATTTTGGGTTTCTCCATCATCCACCTCTTTGTCAAGGACTCAGGACTTCTCTCAGCTCCTCCTTTGATATGAACCCGTCCCCGTTGATATCCAGTACTCGAAAAGCTTTCTTTAAATCATGTTTGATATCATCGGGTTTTTTGTACGACCGTTTTATGAAAGTGTGGAATTCTTCAAATTCTATCGTACCATTACCTGGAAAGTGGTACATTGACAATAAATCTGACCGATTCGTCAGCACCAATACTTTATCAAATCATGACAATATATATATCATAATTCCTTTGAAAATTTATCAAAAAACTCGAAACATTTCTCTCGAACATAAGCGCTAATGTGTTGATCATTGAACTTATTTATTAATAGTTTATCTAAATTATATCTTATATAGAGTCCAGGCACCCTGTTTAAATATACATTGGGAAAAAGTTAAGCTCCTTAATAGAAAATTTTATTTCAAAGTAAGATACAGAAATGTATCTATAATATTTAATTATAAAATTATTTTCCCTTTATCAATAAACACTTAATACTTTGGTATAAATTGATTTCTCCACAGAGAATCAATTTCGACCATCTATTCTGGATGCAGTATAATTTTGTATTGAAGAGACATTTTGGACGTGGCTGTGTGTTTGATATATACCATCGTTGTCCACTTCAGAAATCATGTCGGATACTTCTTTCATTGTAGGATTCAGACCAAGCATGCGAAGTGCACTCCCAAGTTCCAAAGCATCGATTCTTCCGTTTTTGTCTCTGTCGAATTCATCGAATACACTCTTTGCCTCAATTGCCAAAGCTACAAAGAACATTTATACCCAGTAATAAAACAGATAATTTTTATGTTATATTCCATTTTATCCACATGATGATATTGAAATTCATACTGAGATCTGAAGAAATTAAGTTTAAGATATTCACAAATGGAATGAATAACCTTTGGAAAATGATGGAGCCAACAAAATTGTATAAAAAAAACTTCCCTGTTGTAGATGGTGGTGCTAACATTTGTGGGGTAACAGGTGAAAGATGCTATTGCTAATATATAAGAAGAAACTTGTCTGTTTCAAATGGTGGTGCTAACATAAATGGAAAACGTACTAATGGCAAATGGTGGTGCTAACATAAATGGAAAACGTACTAATGGCAAATGGTGGTGCTAACATAAATGGAAAACGTACTAATGGTAAATGGTGGTGCTAACATTAATATAAAACACTAACCTGAGGCAGATGGTGGTGCTATACTGTCTCGATGACCTAGTGACATTACAAATCTCTGGAAGAGAAAATAACATATACTTTGTACTTCAGAATAAAAACCCAGATCACCATTACATATGTATAGAAGCGAAACTAAATAACTAAGAGATTTAATTCTTACTTCCATTTCCATATAGCAGTCTTTCACTCAGTTGTATCCGCCTTTGTAGTGTATTGTAGTTTATTTTTAATAACTCTGGAATAACCAATCGCTGTGCATTTGGATTTAAACGTTACTGTAAACTTTTACTTTTAGACGATAACAGCTTACCTGACTGTTCACTCTACATATATCTTTTTTTCTCACACGGTTATGTTTGGATATCCGATTTAGTGTGTCACCTCATTGATTCGACCGACGGCTGGTGTATATGTCAGTCAGCCATTGCAGTTTAAAACCCCCTTCAAAGCTATAAATGTCGAACAATAATACCGGCAGTGTCCATGGACACTGCATATTTATCAACCTTGTATACCTCAAGGACAATGACTTTGTTTAAATCTGAGTGACGTTTTTTTGATTTCTGTTATTAAATCTTCAGGAGGATTCATATTGATAAACAATGTTAAATTTGTGGTTTAAAATAAGTACCAGTATTTTGCACTTGACACAACTATGTTAATCTCATTAAACTTTATTTCGTGAAATATGACACAATTTTTTGGGGGGTAACATTTATTCTATATCTTCCTTTCTGATAATTTTGATGTTCGAGATTTCTTAATAATACAAATAGATATCTTATTTCTTTGTGCAAATAGTTAACTAGTTTAAACGAACAGAATACATATTTTATAATAATCTCAATTGTCTGAAAACATAAATCTACATTATTAATTTGAAGAGATATTGTTTATTATATTGTGTGTTTATATCTTCTAGCTTAAACACCGCAGATTTAATTTATCAGTGTATCAAACATTCTAATTTTTGACAGCGTGATTTCAATGGGACTTCATAAATGTATTAGGAAGTTCAAATAAGTCCTATCTGCCAATAAAAATTCAGATAAATCTTGAATATGTACATGTCAAATGAAAAACAATAAGGATATCTAAACTTTGTTCAGAGTCCAAGCTCAAATTCTCAGATTATATAGGGGAGAGGAGCTGGATTTTGACTTGTTTATTATTATTCTCCACTGAGTACGAACAAAATTGTAAGTACTAGTGTTAAACATTTGTGACAATAGATATTTATGACTTTTAGCCCTTATTAAAGAATACATTATTTAATTAGCAAACCATTTATTTTTCAGATCTTTTTTTTTATAAAAACATGGCTTCTGGGTCTGATCCTGATACGATGACTCTTCCTTGGAATACGTCTGGTCAACACATTGTACAATGTAGTATATGTCCAAAAAAAGACATGAAAGGTGCAAAGTTTTATTGCTATGATTGCGATAAATTCCTCTGCACTGAATGTCAAAATTCCCATTTCCAAAGCCACAGCGTTATAATATTCCAAGGACTTGATCAGTTGAGTCTCTATCTGAAACCCTGTGCGAAATGCAATAAGAAATCTTCAGAATTCTGCAGAGATTGTCACGTGTCACTTTGTGAAGTTTGTGCGACCCATCTCCAGAGTGAGCATGCTAATCATGTTTTAATTAATAAGAAGGATCTGATGGAAATGCGAGAACAATGATTTGATAAAATTACAAAAATTCAACAAGGCGTTTTTCATTTTCATAATCTGAAAGTGCAATTAGAAGGAGATGTTAGAAATATGGAGAAACAAATAAACAAAATGAAGGAGACTGTGGAAGAAAATACGGAACATCTGAGAAACATGATAGAAAATGTGAAGAAAGAATCACTTGACGAAATAGATTATCTAGAAAAGACTTCCCTGCATGCTTTTGATGACCAAAGAGAAATCCTGGATATCCACATCCAAAATCATAATGAAACTGTTGGTGAATTTGATGATCTTAAACATTGTACAACCCCCGAATCTGTCATTGAATTCCACAAAAAAATTGTATCTAAACAACTCCATACACCTGATATAGTTAAACTCAGACTTCCTTCATTCAAGTCTGAATCTTGTATAGACAACAAGAACGTTCAAAAGTACGTAGGAAAAATCACGAATACTGAACCTTACACTGAATACATAAGAGTTAGCCAAGACCACAAAATAAACTTCGGATGTGAGAAAGAAGCAAACTGTATTCGAAAAATTGTTGTAAACAGTAATCCAGGTCTTCAGGGTTGCCGTCACATCTCTCTCGCAGACGATGACCATTTTTGGGTCAGTGATTACTATGGCAATCTAATGCTCGCTGATTTAGATGGACATGTCAACAAAATTGAAATAACCAAAGACAAATGTTCAGGATTTTACACTGTTGCAGCAAATGGAGATTTATTTTGTGTCAACGAAAGGAAGAAAAAAATACTGCGAATGGTTAAAGATAATGACTTTGATCCAGATCAAAAACCATTCATTTCTAATGCGACTTGGAAACCTGTGAGCATATATTGTTCTAAATATTCAGGTGAAATATTAATTGGATCATTAAAAGACAAGAGTCTGGACGCACGGGTAACCCGATTTGACAAAGCTGGAAAACAAATTCAGCAAATCATGTCTCCAGATTATATCGTTCCTCATTATGTGACTGAGAATTATAATGGGGATATATGTGTCTCAGACTGGGAAAGGTGCGCGGTCATCGTTCATAACAAACTTGGTAAGCACCGGTTTACACACACCGGGCCCCTTAGGAAATGTTACCCAAGTGGTATCTGCTGTGATCTACTTCTCAATATCATAGTATATGATGGATACAGTAAATCGGTTCTTATTATAGATTGCGATGGAAGATTTCTATCCACTCTCATAAATTTACAGTCTGATTGGACAGGTTTGTTGTGGCATACAAGAGGACTTGCTATAGACATTCAACATAATCTCTGGGTCGGTGAAAGTCATTCCAATACAATCAAAATTTATTCATATCTCAATAAAACCCAAGATTCCTCCGTCTAATTGTCTATATACAGTACTTAATTCAACGAAGCCCAGTATGAAAACTGACCGGCAAATATTTCAGACCAAATTATCTTCAATTGTGACGTCAATGAAGGGTACTGTGGTCCGTCTGAAACAACGCTGCGTAAAAACGTAGGAGCAGACAAACTAGATTGAGGACGTTCGATCTGAGCTTTTGAGCAGATTTTGTTCTGGACCGTTCTTTATAAACTTCTTTATCATTTTTAAGTTATAACATTAAATCGGGATTCTACGGTGCATATAAAACTATATCCAGTGAAAAAAACACCATTAAAATTTATTCAAGTAGTTCAAAAAGGATTAAGCTAAGAACTAGAATTTGTGGCGGAATTTTATTTTAAGAAGAAAATGATACATTTTTCCTTTTGAAAATATACAGTACTGTTAATTGTAAAGCAATTATCAATGTAAATGTGACCTTTTATCTATATAAGCAGTTTCGAATTCAGAAACAATACTAGTAGTAGCTTATAGAAAGCGATTGCCTTCATGATTACCTTCTTGAATTACTAGTTATAAACACCCCACACTAAAAAATAATGAATTAAATAAACCCAACAAAAAGTCAACTAATAGAGGCATAATTTATATATAGTTTTCTATATACATTTTGCATTTAAAAAGTGCCCTTCACTACAGAAACACTTATTTTTTAAGACACGTGGATATCAAATTGAAGCTGGATAGTATTACTCCTTTCATCACTCCGTTCTTTTCAAGTTTTTTATGACCTGCTGAAAGAAAAGCTATGGAAGCCCCATGATATGGCACGCCGATTGGTTCAAAACTATTTTCTGCACGACCTTTAAACAAAAATTACACGAGCAAGTCAAAACTTACACAAAGTGCGGAAAATACACACAAAGTTAATGATGTCAAGATAGAGGAATATCTTATCTAGTGGCCGTTAGTATTTATTAGAGATTGCCAATTAAGTTTGTATATATTAACTGATGACTGTCATATTCTGTTTGACGACCAATAGATAACACATAAACAGCTGCCAAATAAAAGATCGTGTCAACATTTTTGTTCACGGGTGTCATTTTGGGCACTTTCCATCCGCATTCATGCACATCACCGCAACATATTCTACAAAACAAAACAGCATACAAATGTTCGAATAGATTAAGTATAGTTAATAACTATCAATCTTTTAAAAATAACTTTTTAAAAACCTTTTATTTTTTTTATCTTATTTAAGATAATCATTTAGACATTTATTTGACATTTAGACATTTATTTGAAATAAATAATCAATGAAGTTATTTATCAACTATATACTATTTGAAATAACTTACCCTCATAATTAATTTTTCCATCTCCATTGCGGTCTGCGGTTCGAATCATTTCTTTAAACTCGTGTTCGGAGAGACACTCTCCCATTTCAGTCATTGCTGATGTCAGTTCCTGTAATGTTATAAATCCGTCACCATTTTTATCAAATACTTTAAACGCTTCCATCAAGTTACACCTCATCTCCTCAGGGTCTCTGTAGGTCATTTTCACGAAGCGTAAAAATTCATTAAAATCTATTTTATGATTATCTGAAAAGAGAACGTCATTTGATTATAAGAAAACATATTTTCACATTTTCAATAAATATTGCTTTTGAATCATATTACCGAAAAAGAAAGCTGTAAGGCTCACAATGCAACATCTCATACTAGCTTCCCACAAGCATTGTAATCAGCCCCACATGCCTTCCGCTGATATTATGGTGTGTCATGGGCTTGTCCAGATAGTACGATATAAGTAAAGAAAGAAATAGAAAGAAAATATGTTTTCTATCATTATCATTCATAACATTCATAACATCCAATGGCACACCTTAATGTCAGCGAAATCGAAAGGACCAACGTTTTGAAGCTGATATAAAATTTTGTGAGTTTATAATTAATACGAAAGTGAATTCTACTTCCAAATTCATATCAATTTGTATAATTTTTAGAATTGTCCTACAAATTTGCTACATTTATGAATTTTGTTTAATCTATGAACATTTTAAAGTACTAGTATATGATAACAAAACCAAAGTCTTACTGTCACTATCCACTTCGTCGATCATCGAACGTATTTCTTTCAGGGTGGGATTCAGACGAAGTCTTCGTAACGCTGTCCCGAGTTCTGTCTCATCAATATACCCGTTACCATCTCGGTCAAAATCTTGAAAAACTGCTTTGGCCTCTACAAATATGTTTTGTAATCAAGTGTATATATGTATATTCTTTAATTGTATTAACATTAGGACATGTATTTAAAAAAATCTAACTTACCCTGAAGTTTATCAGCGTCCAATTCCATGATATTTCAATGTTGTTTTCTAAACACAAATAAAAGAATTCGTTGGCACCACAAATAGCAACAACAAAGCGTGTTTAGAAATTTGCAAATATAACCCAGTGTTAGATTCATTAAAAAAAACTGATTTACAAGAATAAATATAAAATGTAAGTGTATTACATGAAATTCATCGACTTACCAGTGATATTGACAAGTAACTTCATTTATTCATCATGTTCATATCCATTTTTCATTTGTTTTCAAACGACTGGGGCTGTTTGAATTAAACACAGTCCGCTGATCGATCGAACAGCGAATGTTGGGGATTTAAATGTAAAACTTACCATAACAAAGCTAAGAATTTATAAACCTCATAGGTAATAACTAATCCGTCGAAGGCGATCAATGATCAAATATATCTTTAATGAATTTTTACCATCATTTCCTCATTTCCCGTTACTAATATTTTTTTAAAATCTAGCTCTGGAGTTTTCTTAAAGAATATCTACAGTTTCTTATTCTTATAGAAAATATTCTCTAGAAACCGTTCACGGTAGCCTAGTGGTAGAGCGTTCGCTTCGTGATCGGGAGGCCCGGGTTCGATTCTCGTTCGCGGCGCCGCGTCATACCTAAGACGCAAACAAAGGTAGTGACTGTTCCTTCACCAAACGCTCGGCACTAGAAGTGAAAGTCACGGGTCTTTCGGATATGACCTTAAAAACGTAGGTCCCGTGTCACGGTAGGCGTTGGCACGATAAAGAACCCTCACTGCTCAATGGCCCTGAGTGCCGAGTATAGGTCTAAATTTGAAGCCCTTCACCGGCATCGGTGACGTCTCCATATGAGTGAAAAATTCTCGAGAGGGACGTTAAACAATATACAATCAATCAATCAATCTAGTTCTTCATCATAACCTTTTCTTGTTCACAAAAATTACGTACAAATCTGATATTATATTCCTTAATATTGTTTAACATCATTATTTAAATGATGTTAGTGAGTTATCCTTATGGGAAACGATACTGATACTTGAAGTTTGAAAGGTTTTTATATCACAATAAAAAAAAAATTAGAGTTCTTTTCTGTAACTCGTGTTCTTCACGTAAAAATCACTTCCCGGACATCATTCTGCAAAACTCTGTGGGGAAAAATTAGCTTAGTTAGAAATACGTTGACGTCTTTTCCTTGTAATAAATTTCAAAATACTGTAGTTATATAATAGATAATTACACATCTCACAATAAGTTAAAATGATACCTTCGTAGTCCACCTTTCCATCACCATCCTTGTCGATTGATTTAATTAATTCATCCGCCTCTTCGGGTCGTATTTTTTGTCCTGTTTCTGTTAAAATGTTTCTTAATTCTGACACGGTGATATAACCGTTGCAATCCTTATCGAAGAGCGTAAATGCTTCGCGTATTTCATCCTCTGTATTCGATTTCTCCAGTTTTCTCGCCATCATCAGAACGAATTCTTCGAAGTCAATTGAACCATTTCCTGTCAAAAATATATTTTTAAAAATCATACTTTATTCAAATATTTAGATACAATCCAGGCACGTTGTATCGGGGATGGGGGAACTTTCCGGCTGAGACAATTTATTTTCTTTTAAAATGTCAAATATTTTTTTGAATTCTGGCTTCTACCTTTCAAAAACGAAACGATACTACATGACTGCAAGCATTCATATTCAAGTACTTTGTGCATTTCACAGGCTGAACTTTCAATTCCATCAATGTACATATTGTTCACGTTGTTGATGAATTTGACATTTACTGTTGTACAGTTTAAACTAAATTATGCATTTACTCATGATAGATTTTAACCAAGCTCAAGCATTGACGTAAAGTTAGGCAACATTAACTTGAATCTCGGTTAAGAAACAACTAATTGGTCAAACATGCAGTAGGCAGATCATTGCCCAGATCGGTTCGATAGAGAAATACATTCGAACAAGATAGGTTTTCCTCGGATTTATACATGTTTATCTATACTACTTAATTCAAAAAAATGTTTACCGTGTTTGTACCTCGAATTTATAATAATAAAAAGGACAGGGGTAACAAAGAAAAAGCTACTCACCATCCTCATCCACACCCCTGAGCATATTTTCTATGTCATCATCTGAGGGATTCTGTCCTAGAGACCTCATCACTACCGCTAGTTCGCTGGTGGAAATAGTACCATCCCCATCCTTGTCAAAAAGGTTAAAGGTTTCCTTAAAATCTTCAAAACATGAAAACCTCATTTAAAAAAGAGCATTAAAAGTTTAACTGACAATACGGGGTAGTCATGGGCTGCCTTGAAGCATCTGAAATCTCTTCTAGAGATTCCATAGGGCAAAAATGAAATGAAAACTTCTATGACAACTTTGAATTATTCATGGTCCCTGAAATCAAAAATCCTGAATTGCACGAATCTAAATTTTAAGATAAATATGTTATTTAAACCACGTGCACTTTCTTACATTGTCCTTTCTTTTCAATGAAAATTCAGGATTTTTAATAAGTCCTTTGACAATTTAGGATACTCCTGCCTGAAGTTTCATCATACCTCCTTTTTCTAACATGTAATTTTCGAGTGACAAAATTACTTTATAGTGATAAAAAAGCCCCACACATTTCCAACAGATCCTGCGGAATAAACTTTGATTACTTTATTTTTACTAAATAGTTTAGTCCCCTCAAACTTGAACCTTACGTCAATGAACAAAGTACGGAATGGGAGTTGTCCATCTTTGTTCTTCAAGACCATTCTATGTAACGTAATATTTGACGCTTACGTATAGAACATATCCTTACAAGAGTTTGAAAATGTATGATCAGCTGTAAATAACCCAAGCACATCTTTTCAATTTTAAACGAAAGTAATGGCCGTGTTTTTGAGATGTTATACGAAATAAGAAACCTACCTTTCTTTATTTCTGCAGATAACTGGTCTACCTAAAAAAAGAAAAGAAAGTATTTCCAAGATTAATCTCGAATATAGTTCATTAAGGCTTGGTTTTACGATGAATAAAACAAACTTAAACAGACTCACCATAATGGACACATGTAGGCCCCTTAAAACTAGACCTTACGAAAGAAACTTGACAAAAGACCTTTATCTGTGTCTTTTAAATGTTTCAGCTAGTAAATAAACTTTTAAATAACACGTCACTCGTCGCTCGACCATTGCATTTTAAACTTTATATAGATTCACTATTATGTTGAAAATCTCCGATTTTGAAATTACACTCCACTGAACAATACATACCGTGATATAGCCTAAGACAGTCATGTCCCATCGTTGAAATGACAAGAAGAAGAACTTCTCAAGGCGTCAAAGATTCCAAAACGTCTAAACTTTGTGAAAAAAAAGCTTCATTTTTTAATTACTTAATTTTTTTTTAAACAAAGCTAAGGCTAATCTGTGCAAATAATTATAGGCATGTAGTCGGTAAAGCGTTCAACTCTTAGTTCAAGACAATATGAATTAATAAAAAGGTTTTAGATATGTTTTCTTCTATACTCTCGCACATCTTGGGTTGTATACAAATATCAACCAGTCACTGGCCAAACGAGTCTAAAAAAGTTTTTAAAACAAAAATAATACATCATTCAAAGCACGAATTTTCAACAGTCTCGTTTAAAGTCATCATTTCGTAAGTTCTATTGTCAATACAATGACCTTGTCAGCAAATACAATTTATCAAAGAGTCAAATGCTGACTGACGTTTTTCATACTACACCCATTCTCAATATAAGGGCACAAATGCCTCTCTGAATTTTTAAAAAATGAAGTTCAAGATAACAATTTTTCTATCAGTTACCTTTGAAAGAAAGTATCTGAAGATTTTGTTTCCAGATTTTTTTTCATCAAATTATAATACATGGAATAATGACAAGACGATAAAGTAGAGGGTGATTTTATTCAGAAATGTAGCTTGAAATGTACGTTACTCTTTTTTCAATGTCTAAAAAGATATGTCAAAAAAAGGTAGTCATTAAAATCACAATTGGAATATCTTATCTTAACACCAGAACATCCTACCAACTCTGTCAGGAACATATTTCCTCGGCATACGAACGTGCGTTTGATTTTTCCTTTCAAAAAACAAAGGTTACTTTTTGATCCCGATGTACAAAAACATTTTTTAAATATATGCTTTGAATTCTTCTCTCTGTTTTGTTTACAACGATCAGTTTGGAATCTTGTCATTTTTCTATAGATATTCGAACCTAACATGTACATGTAGTAAAATTCTATTTTGTAGTTACTGTCTCTTTTAACATATATCCATGCCGATTTAGAAAACTACATGAATGTAACGTACATTTCAAGATATATTTCTGTTTAATAAAAAAATTAAAATTCATCTAAAAATTCATAGTTTTGTTTCAGTTTATTCCAAAAAAAGATTCTCTTTGTAATCACATTGCGTTATATGTCACAATCACCACTATAAAGACACGATTGCCTCAGAACTTGAGTAGGTAACGTACATTTCATGCTTGTTATAATATGTAAATTAGTAATAAGAAAATATTGAAAAAAATAGCAATTATTGACATAAAAATCATTTCAATGAGGCGTTTTAAGGCAGTAATATAAGATATCGTAATGTAACAAACGAGGTTATTTGTCATCAACTACATGAATGTCACGTCACTTCGGTAACGTTCATTTCATATATTATTGGGGAGTTCCATCCATCTCAGTTCATTACCATTCTTTTGTGCTGTTTCGCTGAAATTGACACCGGTCATAGCCTAGTTACTTCTACCTTTGTGCAAGGGTACAGACAAAAAAAAAATATGAGTCATACGTATTTTGCTATGATTTAACAAATGCTCGTGTTTGGCCATTGAAACTAAACATAAATATATTCCGAATATATCCACCGACAGTCTTGTTAACAATTTCATTTAATATGCTGCAACATCGTTTTTCAAAACACAAACAAACGTGCTTATCAGCAGATCTGGAAAAATATAACCCAAAAATGCAATGATTCAAACAAAACTGAGTATTGTGTGCCTTTCAGTTTTTGGAATGTAGGTGACTGTCTTGTGTTCTGGGTTTATTTGTTTTGTTTCTTTTTTTTTTTTTTTTTTTTTTTTTTTACCAATTATAAGCATATGCATACATTGTTTTAAATTATCAACAACAATTAAATTCATATTGACGAAAAGTCGCATTTTAAAAATTAAACAGACTGCAGAAAGGTTGCCAAAGATGAATGCAAGACTGTGACTTAGAAATAAATTTTCTAGCATGTGGTAACAGTCAAAAACATTTACGAGTATTGGGGGTGCATTTAGATGGATTTATGTGGCCAGTTGTCAAATGGATTGTAACGATAATTTTTTTTCGCTCGTGTAAACGCAATTCAATGACTAAATAAAAAAAATATCAGTTAGAAATACATAAAATGTACGTTACCATACGTAACGTACATTTCAAATCTAAAAATTAATTCTCTTCCACAAGCGTACGTTAGACACGCAACATATTGATACTATTTGAACTTGCATATCAAAAGAAATGCATCATACAGGTTTCGTATTCAGAAATATATACCAGGTATCAAAATTATATTACATATAATTGACCTTAATATATTTTTTTCCTCAGCAGTAACGTTTCTTTTCATTAATTTTGGGATTTAGCCGACCTCCAACCTTTGAAACTTTCCTTTGTGTACACATTCGAGTGTGTGAAAGTATGAGAATGCATGAAAATTCGTGCGAGATTCACTTAATTCGAATTTCATGGTAACGTACATTTCAGTCACGTACATTTCAAATGATCACTTTTCATGTAAAAAATAATTTTTGATTGTGTTAAGCAAAACGTCTTTACCAGTTTACAGGATAAAAGGGGTTGCTTATTCAGAGTCGTCTCATATTTTCTACTTAATATATATTCTAAAAGGAAGAATATAGGTAACGTACATTTCTTTCTTATCTCTACGATTGAAAATGTCTTTCATTCCGTAAACATATTTATAAAAGTTGCTCAAATTGTTCAATTTCATGTTACATTATCTAAGTAGGAGTAATTAATCCTTTGAAATTTCAAATTTAGCCCATCAATAAATAAAGGAGAACAAAACTATCAGGTGTATAATCTTTGTGTTTGCTTGAAATGTGGTTGAAATAGAATTAAGCGACAGGGACATTACACAATAAAAATTATTTATTATCACAAAGAAAATGTATTTATTGTTATGAAAAGAAATATATATGATACAAGGTTTAACTTATCAGAAAATTTTTACTTGAGAATCAAAATTATATATTACACAGAGGGGATTCAGAGTAATATTTGCCTCGGCGACAGTAACGTACATTTCAAATAGGCTACTATATTTGAATTTGGAACTCCTTAAATACCCTTTCAGATCGATAATTATATGAATTCTTATTCATTGTTATATGACTATTTATAATGTTGATTTAAAAATTACATCAGTGGTATTTCTTTTAAATGAAAATGAGGCGACATTATTTGAGCCCTTATATTGAGAATGGGTGACTAATTCTTAGTCCATTATTTGTACACTGAATTGACAATGGATTTTTCCGTTATTTCCCGATCATGACAGTGAGCACACGGCGAGTGTGACTGTTGGGCAGGGGATGCTCACTCCTCAATGGCACCTGGTCCCACCTCTGATGTTTTGGAGGTCCGTGTTTGCTCTGCTCCTATTTTGTATTGTTTTATGGACTTTTGATCTGGAATACTGTTCGTTATCTCCATATGTTTCATCTTTATAAAGCTTCTTCTCACTTTTGTTGTTTTTGTATCAAACATTTAATCGAACCTCCCGGGTGAGGAATTCACAAACCACATCATAAGTTTATTGCTCATGATATCCAAAACACATTTTAAAAAGCAAAACATTTATCTAAAATAAGTTAGATTCAAACGATTCAAAGAGTCCATAGGAGTAGCATTTGCAGAGCGTTTTGTAATTCTATATGAAAATGAGGGATGTAAGAGAAGAAAAATAGGTTTCGTACGTGCAATACGAAACATCAGGGCGCTGAAAATAACTTTTTATAACTTTGAAGATTTTCCGCAATATTATGAAAAATATATATATTTATTGTATAAAAAGAAAACATGTACATTTCTTTTTGACAAATCAAAAAGAAATTACAGCTCTGAATATAACAACAATTATTGATGAAATATTTCATATATAATATGCCATTCTCCACAAGATATTAAAGTCTCGGCTTTTTATATCATTGACAGCTGCTTTTTCAATGGAAATGGAACTCCTAAATTTACTTACCTTGCCACTGATCATTTGCAAAATGACATTGTTAAAAATGCATTTTGATTGTATTCCCATAGGTACCAATTGCGTCCAGTTATTAGCAGACATAATTTTCTATTCATATGAAGCAGAATTTGTTCGAAATCTTATACTTGAAATGAAAAAAATATGGAGATAACGAACAGTATTCAAGCTCAAAAGTCCAGAAAACAATACGATATCGGAGCAGAGCAAACACAGACCTCCAAAACATCAGAGGTGGGATCAGGTGTCATGGAGGAGTGCCCTGCTGACCGGTCACACCCGCCATGTGCACCTCATCATGACGAGGAGAAGACTGCAATTCTGACCAGTCAGCAGGGGATGCTCACTACTCCATGGCACCAGATCCCATATTTATTGTTTAAGAGGCTTTTGTTTGCTCTGCTCCAGAAATTGTATCATTTAATGGATTTTTGAGCTTAATACTGTTCGTTGCCTCAATATATTGCATACACTAGGTTTTGATGCTTTATTTTTTTAAAAATTAAATTATATCTTTCTTTTGTTCTATAAATTAAGTGTTTTCTTTCTAAAGTATAACTTTAACACATGTCTGTATTGTTGGTAAAATGATATGAACAATGAATTATAATGAAAATCACACATAGATTGTGTATTTCCTAGCCCCGTGTCTCTCAAGAAGACATTAAAAAATAATCATGATTACCCCTACACAATAATTGAAGTGTGAATGTTTTTTTGCAATGAATTACGTAAGTAACATAACTGAAAAAGAACTCAAAATAGGGCTTTTAGAAGAGTATAGCCGCTCCTTCGATGCCCGCATATAAATTCAGTTCTGTGTTCTGTATAAAAACGAGAATATGAGGAGAATTATTCCATTCCTCGGTGTATGGCAATAGTATTACCACATAACCT